CCGGAAACACGGGTTGCATGACCGCCGACAGAGCTGGCACAGTGTCGAAATCGATGTCTCCGAAGTCATCTGACAGATTATCGTATTCGTCTTCAGGCATTTAGTAGGCCGCCGCTACAGGAAGCGATGATAGATGAGGCGTGAAGAGTGAGCAAGCGAACGAGGGATCAAGGCGATGGAAGTAGGTTGCAAGAGACGCGTCTTTGGCGCATTGCAACGGCGAAACGCATGTGACCGCAATTTGCGCAGTACTCTGACACTTTCCACATCTACTAGAGTTCGTAAGTCAGTTGTTCCTCAGTTTGTAGTATAATGTTATTCACAGAGACCAGCACATGCACATGTCGGCATCAGCAAACATAGAAAAGAATTGATTATAGTACACGTGCGCGGTACATATGATAGCGAGGCAGATCGGATCCATACTAATACACGAAAGCAAAATGATCAATCACACAGCTACAACAGGCATACTAGGCACAGGTATAGGCTGCGATGGAACACGAGCGCCGGTTTGAGCGCGTGCCGGTGCCGGGCCAAGCAAAAGCGAGTCAATCGCCATCGACCCGCGGCCTGGTGAGCGCGACGCGTCAGAACTTGAGCTTGGCGATGCGGGCGATTGCATGGGACTCGCTGGTTGTGCGGAGTGTACGGGCGGCGAAGGCCGTGCGCGCTTGCGGGAAGGTTCAGGGGCATAGGCACGCTCTGGCTCAGCGGCGCCTGGCGCGTCGGGCGAGCTGTATGGCCTTGCACGCGAGCGCGGCGCGTACGTGGTTTGATAGGCGGGGTCGGACGCATGCGAGCGCACAGGCGGCAGATGTACGTCGTACTCCGGCGTTTGGTGACGATACGAAGGATGGATTTGTTGCGAATACGCATATGGCGAGGGGACATGTGGTGCGCTGTACTGTTCGAGCAGCGACTGATGCAGATTGGCGACGGATGCGATGCGCTTGGCGAGCCGTCAGTCGTCAGACAGCTTGGTACCCCGATAGTGTCCTCACCTGGTCTTCTGCGCTTTTTGCGGAGAGCATAGCGAGCAGCATCTCGCGATCGCCATCACCACGACTGCGATACGCTCCTAGGATCTCTCTGAGGCTAGGCGGCGGAGGCTGGTCGATAACATTCCAGGAAGATTGCACTATTTGCCTCGGGCTCGCGTAGACAGAGGATACCGAGGGAGATGGAGACGAATCCATCCGGCGGTGACTGCTCTCGGCGGAGCGGGAGGAGGACGATGCCATCGAGCTCATAGCTGCGATTGTAGGGGCCGAGGGGAAAAGGTGGGCTGGAGTAGCAGAATTGATTTATATCCTGAACCCGAACCGATCCAATGATACAGTCCTTGGCTCGAGCTCTTGGCGTGGCGCATTGTCCGTTTCGGTTTCTGTGAGCTAGCCAGACCATTCCACTTGCTTACCGATAGCGATAGAGTCGCCACTAGACAGGGAATTCACAACAGGCCTGTTGGCATAGACGGTGACTCTGATCATGGGGAGGAATATAGAGCAACTAACGTCGGGCGACATACGACGCTATCGAGGAGAGAGGCGAGCTATTATTGTTGAAGTCTTGGCGGACTAAAGACAGACTATTCTCACGCTGCTCTCTCGCCACAGGTCCAGAAATCACTCTACGCACACCCTTCTTGCCGATTTACAGCCTCGCTCACACACATGCCATGTCAGTGACTTCCCGTCGAATTGTTCACCCAGTGAGCTTAACGATGCACCTGGCGCCCTGGCGCCCGCCTTGGCACTGTGTTCGCCCAGCCGCCGCCCAGCTTGCTAAGACCTGCACGGCAGTAACTCAGTCAAGGAGTGGAGCTCTAATGGCGTGATCGTAATCGTTTTCTTAACCCCCGTATCATCTTTTCGTGCGCTCGGCATAGAGAAAATCACCGCGTCGCGTTGAGCTTGCTCACCCACTTGCGCGCGCCCCCAGCATCGGCGAAACGACCGGCGTGCCAAGAGTGTCTGTAAACACGGCGGCCGGGCTGTGACGGCGCGGCGGAGGCAGAGCGGTATGCCTTGCCGCGATGGGAGTACAGATCTCAGAAACCTGTATCCAGATGAACCCGCGAATCTATACTTGGGCCTGCAGTATTAGGTTGCGACATCTGCGCGCGAACTCAGGTTCGGTCTCCAACGTGGGAGCTCCGAATTGTACGAGTGGGCCCAAAGGTCATTCGGCAGGCCGAGAAACATCCTAGAAGAGCAATGGTGTATCGAAGGACAGATATACCCCCATCTCTATAGGTGCCATAAATAACCAAGCACGGGAATGAGCCGCAAGTGAGGCAATTCGCGTGCCACTTGCCCACAGCCTTGTGTCACGCTCCCAGTCGCTGAATCTCCATCTCACGTTACGACCTACAACCCTGTATTGACCATCAGATCTTGGCATCCCTTCAGAATATTATTAGCATGGCAGCCCCGAAAGAAGCGATGATGTGGGTATTAGGTGCTGTATACTAAGTAAGCATGACATCCGATATGTGTCTACAGATGCGAAAGCAAATGACAACGAGAGCAAAATCCACTGGAGCATCGAAGGGTCTATTTTTTCGACTGAGGCATCGTTTTCTTATATGCCTCCTCAATCTCCTTCTGAACGTTGGGAAGAACCGGCAGATGTGTCTGCCGTAGAGTCGATCAATATATTGACAACGCACACAGGAAAGGTGACCGTCAGACGCACCTTGTACTCCATGCTGAACTCGCCCTTGCCCTGTGTCATACCGCGCAGTTGGCTCGAGTATCCGAACATGTCATTCAATGCTACCTCAGCAATACACGTAAATTCGTCTTCGCGGACCTCGCTGTCAATGATGGTACCACGGCGCTGGTTTAGACCGCCGATGACAGCGCTCTGGAACTCTGCCGGTGCGACAACCTCGACGGTCATGACGGGCTCGAGAATGATGGGTTTTGATGCCTTATAGCAGTCACGGAAAGCGAGGATACTGGCGATTCGGAAGGCCAACTCGGACGAATCGACGATGTGGTATGCGCCGTCCGTAAGGACCATGCGCGCACCCTCGACCGGGTTGCCCGACAGACTACCCTTCTCGCATGCTTCGTAGAAACCCTTCTCAACTGCCGGGATATAGTTGTGCGGGATGTTACCGCCCATGATCGCATTGTGGAAGGCGAGGCCCTTGACACCATCCTTGTTCGGTTCGGTCTCCTGAAGCTCTTCCGCGGAAATGGGCTCGATGAAGCCAGTGACCTTGGCGTATTGACCCGCGCCGCCGCTCTGCTTCTTGTGCAAGTAGCTGAAGTCTGCGCGCTGCGTGATAGTCTCTCGGTAGTTAACCCGTGGGCGACCAGTGGTGCACTCGACGTTATACTCGCGGCGCATACGCTCGACGTAAATCTCGAGATGCAACTCTCCCATGCCGGAAATAATCGTCTCTTTGCTCTCCTGGTCAATGTGGACCTTGAACGTGGGGTCCTCTTTCTGGAAGCGGTTCAATGCACGCGAGAAGTTGGGCGTTTCTTGACCAGTAGGCTTTATGGCGAGAGAGATGACGGGCTCAGGTACGAACATCGAGGACTATGGATGATCGTCAGATAAGGAACCCCGGATAAAGAGCTTGACACATGCCATGGTAAAGGTAGTCGAACCGTCTGTGAAGGTGTCGCCCGAAGAGCACTCAATTCCGAAGGTAGCGCAAATCTCACCGGGGCCGATCTCGTCAATTTCCTATCGGTTGTAATGTCAGTCATATGCGTGAGATCGGGACAATCGTCGACCTACCTCCATCTCGTTCGAGTGCATACGGGCAAGGCGAGCAACCTTGACTTTCTTACCAGAGCGGCCATGGAAGATGAATTGACCCTTCTTCATGCTACCCTGATATACGCGCATGTATGTGAGTTGACCAAAGCGCCCTTCCTCAAGCTTGAATGCGAGCGCAACGAGAGGAGCGGCAGCGGCGGGGACGAGGTGAACAGGCGGGGCGGACACGGGTAACTTAGTGTCCTGAGCAGTGACGACGCTCTCAGCCGGATTGGCCAAGTAGGCGCAAACACCGTCAAGCATAGGCTGAACACCGGTGTTCTTGATGGCAGAACCAACGAACACAGGCGAGAACTTGAGCGCAACAGTTGCACGACGGATGGCCTGAGCAAGGATGACAGAGGGGACCTCCTCGTCGTTCAGGAAGAGCTCGGCCACTTCGTCGTCGACGTCAGCGATCTGTTCAATGAGTTCGGCTCGTTTCTCCTTGGCGAGGTCGAGAATTTCATCCGGAATGTCGTCGGTGACAACGACGTCGACGCTATCGTTCCACATCAGAATATTTCAGATAATAAGAGCGACAAAACTCACCCCTTCTCTCCCTTGTTGTAGATGGCTTTCCAGCGTACCAGGTCAACAACGCCGCGAAGTTCATCTTCGACACCGATAGGAACCTGTACAGCAGCAGCAGGCATACGAAGCTTGGTGCGAATCTGGTTGATGACCCTCCAGGGATTGGCACCAGGCCTACGGAGAGGTAAGTGGCATATACAATGCAAATATAAATCGAGTTTACCTATCCATCTTGTTGATGAAGGATATTCGAGGGACATTATACCGCCGCATTTGCCTATCGACTGTGATTGTCTGACTCTGCGTGTTCTCATTCAGCGTCATGTTCATGATACCGCAGAATTTGCATACTTGTACGCCAGACACAGCGCAAAGGACCAGCACCGCGCCATCGAGGACACGCAAAGCGCGCTCGACCTCGATGGTAAAGTCGACGTGACCTAGACGTAGCACGTGAATGATAGTTTGTATGCACGTACATCCATCGCATACCTGGAGTGTCGATGATATTGATAGCGAACTTCTCTGTATCCCCGGTGACGGGCGAAAGCCCATTCCAGTCGCAGAAGGTGGCAGCGCTCTGAATGGTGATGCCTTTCTCGCGTTCCAGCTCCATGCTGTCCATCTTAGCACCGACATTGTCGCGTCCACGAACCTATTATATGTGAGAGATTGCGAGCTAGCAGGAAAATTCAGCACATACTTCATGGATGTCACGAATACGGCCGGTGTAGTAGAGGATACGCTCCGTCAAGGTCGTCTTGCCAGAGTCGATGTGGGCCGAGATGCCGATATTCCGCTGATACTTCAAGCGCGTACGGTCTGCGTCCGTAAGCTTGAAGGTATTCGCCAAGTCCGCGCTTATCTGGGCAGCCTCGGAGGCAGCCTTGTCCGCGCCGCTGGCCTCCGAGCCCGCGCTCGGCTGCGCTGCTGTCGCGCTCGAAGCAAAGCGCCGCGCGCCAACAGCTTTAGGACGCCATGTTCGAACAGAACTGTCCAGCAGAGAGAAGTTGGCCCTCCGTCCTAAACACGCTGGCAGCCAGGTCGTTGAGAACATGTCGTGTCCTGAACAAGTCGCGTTCAGGCGCCGCCAGCTAGACCTCATCACGAATTTTGGATACGCGATCACGTGCGTTTGCGGCCCGGGGCCCGGTGTCATAGAGACTAAAGTGCGCATAACTACATCCTGCAACCTTTCCTCGAGTGATGCGCGCATCAGCATACATAGCCATCGGAGATTACATGCATTCAGTCCTTCGGCGCTCGGAATGACAAAGGTATTTATACATGTTGGTAGTCCTTTACACTCCCATTCCAGAGATCTCCGTGTTCAATACTTGAAGCTTTAAGCCCAGGGAAAATGAGAAACAAGCATAGGTGCGTAGTGGATCTCATAGACGGAAGAGACGTGAGCTCATACGACCCTCCAGCGACCGTATATCGGAAGAAGACGTTGAAGGGTTCGAACTTGACTTGCTACCTTCTTTCTTGGAAGATGTGCACGAGGCACCTTTGGTCCACGCACCAGATGCACCTAATGGTCTAGATTAACGGAAGGCCCCACGTTGACGTGAGGGTACTTACCCGTCGGTAAATCGCCTTGCGTCCACCAGTTCGCGGTGTACAAGTAGCCACTATATTAGGTTAAGCGTCTCATCATCGGGATCAGATCTCAGAAGCTTACTTATAGGTAGCCTTATTGCCCGCCGTATAGACGGTCGAGCTTGACCAAGCCGCGACGCCAGAGCAGGAGCCACCAGTGGATCCCGGCGACGATGCGGTGGTCGTGGTCGTGGGAGACGAGGAAGAACCACCGGAGCAAGCGCTGACTGTAAGAAGGATAAAGTCAGCGTTGAAAGGGGCCGGTATCAGGGAGCTTACTCGATGTCCAATCGCTGTTGGGGTCATTCGCAGGAGTCGCCGTTGCATACCATTTGGCCTGAAAGATGTATCTAAGGTGATTGGCCGCTCGTCAGCCAATCGGACGCTGGGCCCGGGTGGGCTGTTAGAACGTACCCGTTGTACGACACCTGCGAACCGCCAGTGTAGGATGTTCCAGAGACGAAGGCGGGTGCAGAACAAGCAGGGTATGTGAATCCTGTTCCACCAGCCGCAACGAGAGCATTCTTGATGGAAGTGTCATAGCGATTATTGACGTACGCCTGGCTTTCGTCCCATAACATCACCCCCCCAAATGACGGAAAGCTCTTGCGCATGGTCGTCGCAATGGACGCAAGAGTATTAGGATCTTGGTAACCGCTACCAGCCGACGTTGAGGATGCGGGAGCTCCGATGAAGATCTTAACGTCTGAGTTGGGGCTCACAAAGCGCGCCCAGTAGTCCCAGAGGCCGAAGTTCCAGTCCTGCATCTGTGTCAGAGGGCATTCTTGCGTAAGAACTTTTCGAAACGCACAGAGGCGATGTTGTAGTTGTTCAGCCCGCACTGATTATTGTAAAACTGAACGAAGATCGCGTCGAAGTTCGCTGCATTGATCGCCGAACCAAGAGCGGCATCGGGATAAACGCACTGTGGCGCGGCGGTGATGTAGTACTTCTTGCTGCTACTGGATGCCAACGAACGGATCTTGTTCACGAATGCCGCATAGCCTGTCCCGGTTCCACTCTCAACGTCGAGGTCCACTCCGTCGAGAACAGCGTTGCCGAAGGGGCGCGTGGAACTTGAGCCACCTAGGAAGAGGTCCCAGATCGTGACGGCGAAGGCCTCCGCAGTTGCGTCATCGGCGAGACCGACGCCGCCACCAGCACCACCAAGACTGCGAATATGTCAGTAAACAACGATGTAAATGATCCTGCCGAGTCTCGATGCATACCTGATCGTGACAGCCTTGCCCTTTGATTGGCAATAAGCGATGTCCGTGGCCAGTGCCGAACAATCTGCGAGTTTCGTCCCAGAGAATGTAGCGTTATCGACGTTGTTGCAGGTACTAGCGAGGTTAATCTCGGGCAGGCCACCTGGGAATTGAGCAAGAGTCAGTTCGGAGAATGCATGAGTCCGCCGGGTTTCATCTCACCGGTAGACGAGAATTTGTTGACGCTATTGATACGAAGGTCAGAGACAGGGTCCAGAAAGGCTGAGTGACTACTCACAATGCGACCGGGAACATGTCTACAGAGTTATCCTAGTCCCATAGGTGAATTCATGAGCGCAATAACGCTCAAATGTACCTTACATTGCAATAGTACGACAAAGTCTTCTGCCAGTTGGCTGTATCATCATGTGTGGCGCCGTAAGAGTTTTGTCCCCCTAGATGAATTCACGACATCAGGCACTGATAGCATAATTCGGCACACTCTCATACAATAAGACACCACCTATGACGAGTGATATGAGCAGGCGTCTTTATGAAGACCATGGAGACGGAAGGCGCACCTGATCGTGGCGCGAGAGGTCGAACGCCTGAACATGGACCGAAAGGATTGCACTGGCAGCTAAGGCGCGAAAGGCACGAACGAGAGCCATCGCGGGGCAGTGAAGCGCGGGGTAGAGTCGCAAGGACGAGCTCGAAGCTCATGAAAGCATCTCATGGCGCAGATATACCTGTGCATGATTTGCTAGCACATGTGGTCCTGGACCTCAACCAGGAGATGAACACAGGTGAGTTCGCGCACCCATGCGTTCCATTCACACTGAGTAGAACTCAGCATCCAGCGGCGTCTGCGTGCCACAAGGGGCTTGGACGCTATCGCATGCGCCATGTGGTCACGAACCAGATCGAACAGAGGTCACGGCTACAGTCCGCGCTTGACGAAGGAACGGTGCTGTAGATGTCCATGTGCGCCTAGACAACCTAGACACCGTTCAACGGCAGAGCTGCCTGTGATCCTCTATTATGCCGACGAACGCCGAGACCCGCCAAGGGCTGGCGACGCGCTCAGGCCACATGAGGCATCCCATCAGAGCGGCACAAGGACCGACCTGCGCTGCGCGCCGAATGGTCCACGCATGCGAGACGAACCAAGGCTGGAGACATCCAGGGTAGGCGAGAAATGGTATAATAATACAGAGAATCCCGTGTACTCATGCTATAGAACCCTCGCTTTCAATGTCAACTCCTGCGCCGACATTTCTGACGGGATCTGTCATTCGATCATTAGCTTATGCGCAGACAAGGAGCGTGGACGGAACACGGACCGAAGTAGGGATGGTCCTGAGCCTCCCTTGCAGTTAAGCGCTCCTGGTGGTCATATCGAAGGAGCTTATCGAGAAAGTCGATGGCTTCATTGGTGATGTAACGCTGGTTTTCGGAGGTGATGAACCGCGTCCAGGGTTTCCGAGGGTAGCTACACGGTACTTCATATCAATGGCGAATAAAGCACTAGGATAAGTGGAAGACTGACCGACTGAGGATGTCGTCGTACTGAGCGTCCAGTTCTATGTCGTACTTGTCCAGATAGGCATAGAGATCGTCGGTGCCTAAAACCTTGGAGATCTTCACCAATTGGTCATAGTTGTCGTGTCCGTGGAAGAACGGTTCCTTGCGGAATATCTGGTAAGAGGGTTAGAATGTGGGTACATCCAATCACACTGTACACCCGCCATTGACGCGAACATGCAGCCATAACTCCACAGATCCAGACTATAATCATATTCCTGGAAGTCGACCAGAAGTTCGGGACCCTTGAAGTAACGCGACGCGACGCGGACGTTGTATTCTGTCTTTGGGTGATAGAATTCCGCCAAACCCCAATCTATGAGGCGAAGCTATAGGGGGCGTAAGAGAAGGCACGTCTGACGATATGAGAGCCACGCGCCTTGCGTCGTTCGTGGTCAATCATGACGTTGTGCGGCTTGACGTCGCGATGCATGATGCCTTTTGAATGGCAATAATCCAAGGCCTAGTGCTTCCCATGAGTGCAGTCGGTGGAAGGCGTAGCGTGAACGCACCTTCAGCAGCTCTAACATGTAAAATCTAACATCGTAATCGGTGAAGCGCGGGTACAATGTCTTGAAGTCGACATTATGGACATATTCGGTCACCAGACTCGGTATTTTAGATAGCGGATCGCGAACGACATCGAGGAGTGCGACAATGTTGGGTCCCCCGGCCAAGTTCTGAAGGATTTTGATCTCCCGCTTGATCTTCTTCTTCTTTACCGGTTTGAGGACCTTGATGATGCACTTCTCGTCATTGACGATGTTCACGCCCTCGAACACCTATTGGAGGACTATCAAGATAGACAGCTACTGACTACTCAGGGTCACGCACCTCAGAGTACTTTCCTCGACCGACTTTGCGCACAATCTCATAATGATCCTGGGAACCCCACTGTACTTGCAGATTATCTGGCCCGGATATAAGGAGCGTTACGATTAACCGAGAGAATGTAGCGCACCGTATTCGTACCAGGATGGTCCCAGAGACGCATTGGCATCCGGATATACACGGGCGACTGAGGTCATCTGCGCTCTCACCATCCTCCGGGGACGGTTCACTGGCGGTGGTGATCTAGCGGGTCAAGGCCTGTGGGTGGCCGCAAAAGGCGAATGCAGCTCGCCGCGCGCGAGCAACGCTGTTCCCACAGTCGAACGTGCTCTTTGGAACAAACTTCCATCTGCCCAATCATACCCTCATGGCCTCTCAACAGCGCGCTCCAAAGCACTGGCCGGCCAATCTACGATATCTCAGACAGCCAGTCTATCATACGTCCGTGACACCGGATGTGTTGGGCTTTCTACGCCAAAATGGCACCAACCCACTCCCGACCAAACGCACTGCTGACACTGGCGTCTCAACGCCGCAACCCAGTCAATCACTCTGCGTGATACGTCCGATAAATGATGGGACGCATCCTGCCTGTGGCCAGAGCGGGCTCTTCTATACCAAGAAGCTCCCACCCCGGTCACTGGTGCTCGACTATCTTGGAGAGATCCATGCAGACGATCGAATGCAATCCGACTATGATCTTTCCCTTCACCGCCTTTCGAATGGTACGAGTATTGGGATAGACGCTGCGTGCATGGGTAATGAAGCCAGGTTCATCAAGTGACCCTTTCCCTTCAATCATATACGAACGCAGTCCCGGGCTAATGTGGGCCTGTCAGCGACTACCGCGGGATACGTGATAAGCCCAACGCGGAGTTCAGAGAGAGGAGGACTGCGCAGGGGGAGCTGCGAATGTGTGTGTGGACGATCGCTTCGGTGCAGAAGGGGGAGGAAGTACTGGTCTCATACGGAAAATCCTGGTGGAAATATCGCAGTTATATACAAGAACATGATGAATGACGATAGTATGCCGAGATTACATGGGCTGCACGGATGAGAAAGAAGCAGAGACCAGTGGCGGCCCTGGAGACGAATGGGCTGCTGGAAGCGTCGAAATTTCTAGCACGTGTCGGATGGGGGAAACGTGAGTTGGTGGACGCGCTCACTGGTTGGGCACAAGTCAACTCTGTACCACGAGCTTCATGCCCTCTCGTCTGGCACTTACAGGTCTCGCTTCCCTCAAGTCGCTCTCTTCTACTACTTCCTGGCTTCCGCCAAGGACATGCCGTAGCCTATCCACTTCCGCTCAGCGTGCTCGTGGACGCGCCGCTCTCAAGCCTGCGCAGCGCATAGCAGGGGTGAAAGCGAGTTCCACGGCGTTATTCAATACGGCTGTTGACTAGGTCGCTCTGTAGGCTCGGCACTTTCACTCGTCGCGACCCAGTCTAGAGCCGAAGGATCCTTACCAAGTCCTGGGAGTAAAGAAGGACGCTACCGCGGCAGACATCAAGAAGGTTTACTTCTCTGTACGTTTGCTGATACTGTGTCGCGTGCCACACTCTAATCGTCTTCCAGCTGGCAAGGAAGTATCATCCAGACACCAATCCGGACAAGAACGCCCAGGCCAAATTCGTGGAGATCCAGGAAGCGTACGACGTACGTAGTGGTCCCTCATTCTCAGATGGCCGCTGACCACCATTGGCAGATCCTCAAAGATGACAAGAAACGCGCAGCCTACGATCAATACGGCTCTGCCTCGCAGCAGCCGGGTTTCGACCCGAACGCATTTGGTGGTCAAAACCCCTTCGGTGCAGGTTTCAGCGGCTTTGGTGGTGGTTTCCCGGGCTTTGGCGGGTCCTCCTTCGGCGGTGCCAGTCAACAAGAGCTGTTTGACCAACTCTTTGGTGCTTTTGGTGGCCGCCCACGGGGCTCACGCGGCCGCCCAGAGAATTTGCGGGGGGAGGACTTGAATGCGTCTGTGAACATCAGCTTTATGGACGCCGCCAAGGGCGTCAAGAGGACCATAAACGTCACAAAAATCGTGGATTGCGCGCCCTGCACGGGTTCCGGGATGAAACCAGGTGCCAAGCGCAATTCCTGTTCGGCCTGTAACGGTACCGGGACCCGAACATTCGTCATTGAGAGCGGCTTTCAAATGGCAAGCACATGTTCTGCCTGTGGTGGTACGGGTTCAACGGTCCCGCGCGGTAGTCAGTGCGACAGTTGTGGCGGGGTAGGGAAAGTTAGGCAGCGTGCGAATGTAGATGTCCCGATACCTGCAGGTAAGCTGACGCTTCTGACTATCGTACTCGAACTACGAATTGACAATAACGTGTCAGGCGTCGAAGATGGAATGACCATTCGAGTCTCGAAGGCTGGAGACGCGCCGATGTCCGGAACGGGCGCCCCGGGCGATCTGCTCGTACAAGTCAAGGTCACTCCCTCAAAAGTTTTCCGAAGACAAGGGGCAAATCTCTACCACGAGGCGCATATACCTTTGCATACCGCAGTGCTCGGTGGTCGGGTACGTGTGCCCACATTAGACGGTGATGTGGACGTACGTGTGCCCGGAGGCACTCAGCAAGGTGAAGAGATGGTCTTGAAGTCACGAGGGATGCCTCAGATCTACCGCCAGCAGGACAAGGGCGATCTTTTCGTCACGTTCTCCGTCAAGCTCCCGAGGTACGTGTCCTCGAATCAGAAGTTTCGCATGGCTGATTGCGTTGTCCGTAGGTCCTTGACCCCCCGGCAACGTGAAATCCTGCAGCAATACGCGGATGACGTGGAGGGCAGAACAACCAAACCAGCGCAATCTCCGACATCTGATACTGCGCCCGCGGCGGACGCTGAAGAAGACGGTACGCGCTCCTCCGATACAGCGCCGTCGTCGCTGCCCAGCGGTGATGGCTGGCTGTCTCGTGCTTTGCGAAAGATTCGTGAGCTTACTTCTTGATCTTTTTACATGACGTTCGTCCTTCCGTTGTTCGCCTACCCTTCGCGCGTCTTTTGATCCGCCATGTTCAGACGCCGCGTCTGACAAGAAGCACGACAAGACGGAGCCTGAGAAACGAAGAGCCACGGCGTGATGGTGGACCAGACGGAGGGCGCATAGACATACATTAGCTCTTACATATAAGGATCATCCTAATCACAGTCCACTACTCGCTTGATACGTTCTCCGGCACGTAGCCACAGGCTCGAGGCAAACGGAGTGATGGCATGCAAAATGTGCACAATAGAGCCCCCTCGTGCACAGTTCGGCCACTACACGTGTTCTCGGTGTTCGGGGGATCGGAAGCGCTGGCATCACCTTCAAACTCGTCTCTGGCAATTACCTTCATTACCTTCTCCCACCCCCTGCCTGACAATCGTCTAGGCCTTCCAGGAAGGACTTCGTGCGCTCCCAGGACCTGCAGTCTCCAGAATTCATTTCCGGGCAGCTGTTGGCTGGTCTAGTCACATCGGCGGCGGCGATCTGGCGTCGGTAGCGTGAATCACTCTTGATCAAGCCCTCGTGTTCGCGAGAATATGGTTTTGCTCTCGCCTTCATGGCCTCCATGGTCAGTATCGACACACGAGGCACTCCAGACCGGGCAGTCCGCCATTCACCTGAGCACAAGGTGGTGTTGAGAAATCGTACCACGGACTTTCTTGTCTTTTTAAGCACTTTCCACGAACATCAGAAATTACGCGTTTACATCGGTCGGTGACTATCCCTCGAGGCCCGCCTCTGCTTTTTGACCCTCAGACCGGCTTCGAGAACGTCCCACACTCTAAGTAGGTACTCCGAGAGAGTGCGGTCGTGTGCCAACGACTCGGACTCGGGTGAGGATCGCGGTCGTTTTACGCAGAACAGGGTCTATCGCTGTGAGCGGATGGATATGTGTCGTTGGACGGTGTCTAATGAGGGGGCCTACTCCCTCCATGTATATAAAGTAGGGGTGCTCGAATCCCAGCTGCTTGTATCTCCAGTCTCGAGCGCCGTTCGCCACGCTTACGCAGTGCTCGTTCCCAACTCGCTATGCCCATCCTCCCTACGTATCTATCGACATGGCTCTCAATGTCGCGACCGGACGTGCCGACGACCACACGACCCCCAAACTCCACACTCTCACGCTCACCATCATGCCAGAGCGAAACTGATACTGTATCCTTGAACGAAAGAGCAAGCTTACCCTCCTCCACCCTAAGTAACCCAAAACCTTCCCCCACAACGCTCTCGCCCGCGCGGATTTTACTTGCACACATTGGGTATGTCGGGCTTAAAACATGCGCGGGCCGGATCGTTCTTGACGCACACTTCCAATAGAGCCGCGCTTACACTCTTCCTAGCCACCACCGATAGCGTAAGTTATACCGGCAATCACTGCGCGCGGCGAACTGAGATCTTCTAGACGGTGGTATCGACGGCACTCCCGAGCATTGTGAAGACATATTCTGCCTCACAGGCTCAGTATACGTGGGTGGGAGTCAGCTACATGTTGACGCAGACCGCTTGCCAACCTCTCTACGGTAAATTGTCGGACCTGGCGGGGCGTAAGGTCAGTCCCACATCAGTGGCGTACGTTCCTCAGGTTGGGTTGACGTACGTATCCTCGCAGTTTGTCCTATTCTCTAGTATAGCAGTACGCTGCTCCTTCTTTCAATCTCGGTCCCCGCGTTGACGCCCTAGATAGATCTTCGCCTTCGGTTCATTGCTTTGCGGGGTGGCGCAGGTGCGTTCTTCCGTTCTTCCGACTTTCCATGCTCCCGCTCTGTTGGCGTACGCGATCTCATCTCGCCCCTGCACAGTCTATTACGTGGCTCATCATTGCCCGTGGCATTTCTGGTGCGGGGGGCGGCGGCATAGTGTCGTGTGTCTGGATCATCACGGCCGAAATTGTGAGGGAAGAAAAGCGCGCAAAATGGTCTCAGGCCCTGAGCGTCACCTGGAGTTGTTCGGCCGTCGCAGGACCGCTTCTCGGCGGCCTCTTCAGTGGTACATCTTACAACTCTACGCGTTGATCCCTATAATGATCTCGTGTCTGCCAAGGTTCTCAATTGCACGCAGTCAGCTGGAGGTGGATCTTCTTCTTGAATCTCCCCATCTGCTTCGTATCTGTGGTCGTTCTTGCATTATCCCTGCGGGGCGTCGAAGTTGGATTCTCGCAACATGCGTCCTGGCGCGGTCTTCTGGCTAGGTTTGACTTTGTCGGACTGTGAGTGCAATGCGCTTCACACTTGCATCCCCATTCGCCTGAAGTATGTCCAGCGTCCTGTTCGTAGCCGGCACGTGCTGCATCGTGATAGGCTTCAACTTCGCCGCTTCATCCGGTTGTAAGTGAGCCTATCTACAATCGGGTTGGCAAGCTGATCAAGTTTCAGGGACTTCTCCATCAACGCTCTCACTGATCATCGGGGGTCTCGCCCTGCTGTGTTGTGCGGTTGTGTACGAGAGTCGGACATGTAGGGATGCCTTATTCCCTTTGTCTTCTTTCAGAAACCTCAACGTCGGTGCGTCATCAGCGGATCATGGTTGTCTCGTTACTTAACATGCATACAGGAATCGTGCTCTGCATCAACTTTCTCCACAATTTTGCGTTCACTTCCGCTACTTTCTACCTGGCGCTCAGTTATCAGGTGCGGGCGAATTGAGAACCCTTAACATCGAGACTGACGGCACCTTCAGAGCCTCAATGCTATTCCAGTACTAAACGCCAGTCTCATGCTTCTCCCGTACTCTCTCGGCTCGTCGTTGGCGTCAATGCCTGCAGCATGGTTTATGAACTCGTGGCAGGCCAAGAAGAAAGATATCAGCGGCCAGCGTATGATCATCGTAATTGGACTGGCCATTGCGACTCTAGGGTTTGGTGCGTCACTCGCGACGTTGGGTTTGCTCCAACCTACTGACGACGGGTACAGGACTGCTGCAGCTATTGCATCACCGGCTCAGCGTCTATGCCCAATCCATCATTCCACTTGTCGCTGGCATCGGCCTCGGCATGCTATTCCATGCTCCCTACCAGGTCTTTGCTTGCTCGCTCCCACCACAGGATCTCGCAGCAGCGACCAGCGCCTTCTTTCTTGTAAGATTCACCGGTGCGACAGTCGGACTCGTAAGCGCACACATCAGTTCTTTTCCGATGCTTCTTGATTGAAACGGCGACAGGCACTCTCTGGCGCTATCTTCTCTCGCTTCGCCGGTTCTGCGGCCTCGTCTCAAACTGATAGTTCACCCGCAACGGTCCACGCTATAGCGCAGGCTCTCAGAGTACGTCGTTCGCGTTGGAGAACTAAGAAAACACTGAACGATTCACAGTACATCTGGATTCTGTGCACGCCTTGCCTTGGCATTGCATTACTCGTAAGAGACAGAGCTCATCACTTTCATCGACGTTCCTCTGACATGAGGTCTGTCTAGCTTTCCTTTTTCCTGCGCAACGTCAACTGTGCCACACAGTGCACTCAGCCATCATCATCGGGGGCGAGTACGAGCGAAAAGAGTACCGAAAAGGATGAGATCGTCATATCAGGATCCGTCGCATAGATACAGATCACCCTCATGTATCATAGTGTACAATAGAAGACCCCTCATAGACCGCCCACCATGAGACGATGTTGTAGAGTCTCACCTCTTCCGTTTTGTCAACCCAGTTCTAGGCTGAACCTCAAGATCATCCACTCGGTGCTTGAGGATCAGATGTTGAGCGCAGCCTACATGTGGGCTGGAGAACGGCCCTGAGCTATACTGACTCCTGAGCTTGGGAAAGTCCACTTCTATCTGACCGGCCGAAGGCAATACGCCGGCTCTTGGGGAATGTCAATGAGTCCAGCTCAATCCCTACAGCTGGTAGACAGGTGAATGTCTGGACGTTGTTTTCCTCATCTACCTCCGAGACTCGGTTGTATAGCCGTTCAATCGGAATCACGCGATGTACGTGAAGGGCCCTCAATATTCCGACGGGAACAGTTCGTTGTAATCAGCGACTGAGAAGGAACTTCCCACGCAGGCAAGCGAATTGCATAGTGCAATATACGCGAACCTCAAGTCATACAATCCAGCGTACGATACAGATCTGAGTCTAGACTTTTGGCGGGAGATGAGGATAGGCTCCGACGACAGCGTAGATGGCTTATGCTCCCCAGACGTCCGCTGTTTCGAACCCCCTCGGTGGCGATTTGGCTCGAGCGTCAGTGTATACAGTAGGCTAGTGCCTGGCAATGGGTTTTGTGTCGAGGGTGGCCCCTCTGCTTGCTTAAAGAGGACAGAAACTCCCACTGTTGGGAACTATGAACAAGAAGTAGAGAGGCAATACGCAATTCAGCGCCACATAGTCCCGTCAGGCATCTGGGTTTTCGAAGACAAGCTGAGTACAGAGCGACCCCAGCTCTTGGAGACATGGCCCTGCGACGTGATCCCGCGTCGGACAGAAGCCTGGGTCACACTTGTTGAACAGCCAGTGAGGTGATAGGTCAGTCTAGACTTGAACGGTCCTTTGTCCACCAAAGCCATCTCGCGTTCGTCGCCGGCGGCACGCACTCCGCGGCATCCTCAAGATCCCGAGTGGCATCCGGCGAGAACTTCAAGCAACGTTCACAGTGCCACACGTAGCGGCTTCTTCTGAACGGCGTCAGACTTCGAGGCTAGACTCGAGAGAAGGTGTATGATCGTCGGCAAGCGAAAGGTCATTCTGTGACTATATTCTCAGCGGTGAGGTGGCAATAGGAGGCCAACCGGGTTCGGTCAAGTTGAAGGCACTTGATTCTTTTGAGGCATCCGATTTGAAATTAGCCTAGGGTTTGCCCAGTGCAGGCACCGACTGGGATGACGTTTACGGCGGGACCGTCAGGCGGTGTAGGAAACCGAAATGCTCGGTTCGCACGGCGTCATCGCGGTCTACGTTCAAGTTGTTCTGGCGAGAAGGCGCATGCAGTGGCAGTTCGGCGTGTCTATGTGCAACATCGAGCAATGTAATGTGCAGTCCGTTCTCCGTTGTCACCATACAGCTTAGATCAAGCTCACCGGCACCGGAAAAAAAGTCTTATCTCAGTGTAATCACACGCGTCAAAAAAGTCGCGTGCGCGGAATTGAGACATGCCCCTGCCGCTCCGCTTGTGGTATCATACGTCGTATCTTGCTCCTCTCTCTCATCTCCTTGCGCTCCCCCGTCGTGCCATGCCTCTTGCGTCAGACGTCGCTGGACCAGACTTCAGCCCTTCGGTTCGCCTAGGATATCCGAGGTCAATATCGAAATCATCCATGGGCTCGTCCCATAGCAGCGTCCATCGTTCATCGGGCCGTTCTGCCACGTCTTCCACGGCTAGCTGGTCCTCTGCATCCCCGAGTTCATCAAAGGAGAATCTCTCAGTCGATTATGTTGTTGAAGGTGTTCCCCATGTTGCAGGCCACCTAGATCCGAGGTGAGCATCTTTCAATTTTTCGTCAAGCAGATAGTCGCGAGAACTACAGGACGATACGCCTTGAGCGGTCAGTTCTGACTCGTATCCGGTGGCTGGTGCATTCAGTGACAAGTACTGACCAGGCCCCTTTTAGGCAGTACAAAACCCCGCGTTTTGTCGAACAGCTGCTGGAGATCACACATGCGCTCTCGATCCCTGCGTGGACCAGAGATGTTATGCCCGCATCCTCAATGCGCATTCAGAAGGTGTCGGGGGCTCTGACGAATGCAGTCTTTTTCGTATCCTCCCTCACTACACCCGCTCGTACTCTCCTCCTTCGCGTCTATGGTCCATCCTCCAGTGCCCTCATCGCACGTCCTCGAGAACTCCACATACTGCATGTCCTATCCTCCACGTATCACATGGGTCCACGTGTGTACGGCACATTCGATAATGGTCGTATCGAAGAATACTTCGACTCAGAAACGCTGACTGGCTCGGCCATACGCGACCCGTTAACAAGCTCGTATATCGGCGCCCGCATGGCTGAATTGCATGGTGCCGATGTCGATGCACTCGAGCCCGAACCTCTTCTCCGCGGGCTCCCACGAATCGCAGTAGAGACGAACGTGCGTTCATGGCTTGTACCCGCACGCAGCGTTCTCGAGCTTCCCGCCGTCCCAGAATCAGTTCGCGCCGAGTTCGACCTTGATGCATTTCAACGCCGCTGGGAACATTACTTAGGCTGGCTGAAGTCCACCGCGGCCAGTGGCGCACTCGACAACGTTTTCTGCCATAATGACGCCCAGTACGGCAACCTGCTCCGGTTGAAGAAAATGAAGTCCGGAAGGCCAGAGCATCACCAGGTACGCAGAAGATCTTACCGATACAGTTAGCTTAAGTTCACACCTTGCAGATCATCGTCGTCGATTTTGAGTACGCGGCACCCAACCCTGGCGCCTATGATATCGCGAACCACTTCCACGAGTGGACGGCGAACTACCACGGCGCCACCCCTCATCTTCTTGACATCGAGCGATACCCCAGCCCTGGCGAACAAGACAACTTCCTCACGGCGTACTTGTCTTATCGAAATGTCCCTCTCCCGTCGGGACGCATGGTTCCCTACGACGCACTCTCGAAGTCGGACCAGCTCGACGAGCTCGCCACGCTGCGGCGTCAAGTACGTCTTTGGAGCCCCGCGTCCCACGCGATGTGGACCATATGGGGTCTCGTGCAGGCGCGCGACGACGTCGAGCGCCGGACTGTGAACCCGGAATTCGACTACATTGCATACGCGCGCGGCCGCTTGCAGCGTTTCCACGCAGAGCTGGATGAACTTTCCCTTGGACTCTGACTGTATCGACGTGTTTATGAGATTGTCTTCATCATATTGGGTCTGAATACTGCGTATATACCATACCTTTCGGTCATGCACGATCTATGACAATATCGCAATGACAAGTATCATTATCTTCCGCCAAACCAAATGTACCACCAAGCGTGGTCCTGATTAAAATTTTCAGTACCCCATTTTGCCATGACCAGGACTGGCAGACATTTCATTCATTAAGTATAAGGAACCAGAATGCACAGCGAAGGGAACAACAGCAGGATATATGGCACGATAAATGACAAGGCGAGCAGCGGTACACGTACGACCGGCAGCAGAGTCAAAATCACCGACAACTTCCGACAACTACTGGTGCAATTTTGGGGGATTACAGGGAGTAGATGAGGACTGGTTTTTCTTGGTGGTAAGAGCACAGAAAGGAGTACATGGGATGAGGGTGCGCCCAACAGGCGACGCGCTAGGTCCGACGTGGACAGTCATGATGTTCGTGAATGGTAAGAGCAAGAAGCTGAGTGTAGCGAGGACCATATCCCCTTCAATGTCGCTGCTTTACCAGCGAGCAGCGGTGCCAGGGCCGTCAACAGCAGAAAGCCACGGAACGTTCGCGCGCTGCTCGTTGATGGGCGCCGCGGTCTGAGGACCCGGGAAGGCGACACTGCGAGCAAGGGTACTCCAGTTACCCGCGCTGCCTGAACGAGCATGGCTGACTGCGCGAGGCGGCGTAAGCTCCGGCGCAGGTGTGGCAAATGGCGACGAGCTGCCAGATGGCGGAGTCGGCGACTTGAGACCCAAGTTGATAACCTCCGTGCCATTAAAGGAGTGGCGTACGCTTGAACCAGAAGAACGTTTGTTGGCGTTGCCCTGATTGCTGAAACCCGGAAACTCCATGCGCTGACGGCCAAGATCGGGTCCTGCGGTGACAGGACCTGGCGAGCGGCTGCCTGCATTCTCGTCCTTGCGGAACATCGCACCCGCGTTGGGGGCAAAGGCAGGGTAAGCTGACTTATTCTGCGTCTTGTTCAGCGCTGGCTGGTCGAGCGACGCGGTATCGAGGCGGAGCGGAGGCTGGCGCGGCGGCATAGAGTTCGTCGGAGTGGGATAGGCAGTCGAGGGTGTCGTCTCACCCGTTGTGGGTGACTGTTCTTGCTTCTGAATGCGCTGTAGCCGGGAGACCTGTTGCCCCTCGGTTGAATCGCTGTCCGAGCGAGGGCGGTTATCTTGGGGTTGCATGGTCTGAGGCTGGGCGATCTTGGGCGGAGGTGCGCCATCAGCACCAGGCGGAGCACCAGACGCGGGTAGTTCGGTATGAATGAAGCAGCAGCGCTTCCCGTACGGGCAAGAACCCGACACCCAGAATGTACGGCAGATCTCGGTCTTGTACTGTAGGGCCTGATTAGAGCGAAACAATATTGATCGTATTGCGGAACACAAACCTTCGGATGACGCGCAACCTTGCGAATCTCCTCTTCACCGTGGGCGAATTGGCACTTCGGCCCATACCGGCATGAGCCCTTTTCTTCCCAGCTACGGCAAAGCTCCGTCTTGTAAAGGCCAAGCTTCCGATTATTGGCACTTGGCCCATTTCCAGTAGGATCCACTGCAAGCTGTGACTGAGAGCCAGAGCTTCCCCCTGTTGGCGTCTGTTGCAGCATCGGCATGTTCAAACCGTACGGCTGACCGAAGCCTTGCTGAATACGCGCGGCGGCCATAATCTGGGCGACGCCGGGAGCGTATGCCTCTTGAGGGGGGAAGAAAGCGCCCGGATAGACTCCTGGGGCGCCGGCAAGTGGGTACAGGCCAGGGGTGAACGGCATGCCGCCGTTCACAAGTGCCGCCGCCGCCGTATCACGTAGGTGAACGGGGTCGGAAGACGAGTGTTGGTGGTTGTTGCGGAAGTTTTGCTGTTGCTGGACACGAGCAATGGCTGGATTGTCGAAGGCAGCCTGGGTGTTGTTCGCGGCACCTGCCTGCATAGGGTAGTGCATGTTGGTCCCGCCGAGAGACTGAGCGGCGCCCTGCTGGCTATTATATGCCCGCTGTTGCAAGGCTGGCGATCGGTAGTTGTGAGCATTTTGACCGTTTACGCGAGTATCGATCGTGATAGGCTGGAATTGACGCTGCTGGACGCCGTAGTCGACTTGAAGATCGGGACTTCCAGGTTGCTGACGCGGCTGCGAGGCAAGCGACGGGAACGTGGTCTGCTCAGTTTGGACTTGTCCTTCCTGTCCACCGGGACCAGCACGTGCCTGCTCAGGCTCGGGAATGCCTTGCAGACGGCGAAGATCCGCAGTCGAGATACCTCCAGAGTAGGAATGCGGGCGGTCACGATGTGCGGAACCAGGTCCATTCGACGTTTGACTGGAGGTTGAGTCGGTCCGGTTGTGGTTCGGCAAACCAAGATGTTGATCCGACGGTGGTGATCCCGACTTGGCGGTGGGGTGGGCGGACATGTCGAGAGGGCCCGCCTCCTGCAGCTTGACACCAGGTGCACCGTTGATGGCCGAGTCCGCGACATCACTGACACCGCCGTTGTTAATCTTGAGCCTGGCCATATCGTCGGCGAGGAAGGCGGTCGCAGCATCAGCGTGGACAAGCTGTCCGGCACCGTTGACCTTCCAGCGCGCATTCTCAGGCTGCGCTGCAGAATCCACGGTCATATTGTTGTCGGGATTGAGCATGCTTCCTGTCTGTAGCTTAGAAGGGGTGCCCTGAGGTAGCCCGAAGGCATTGTGATGGCGGCGCTGGGTGATGGAGGAATTGATTAGCAAGATGTTTGAGAGGGCGCGAGACATAGCCGGAATGATGGGGCTAGGGAGAGCGCTTACCTGCTCGACGGGGCTATCAACGTCGTCAGCCCAGCTGGCGGGGATGGGGCGACTGAGTTTTGGAAAAGGAGAATGCTTCCGGGTGTTTGAGGGAGAGGTGGGCATCTTGTTCGTGGATGGTGTGTTCGTAACGTGTTGCATAGCGCTGAGGGTGGCCAACATGTTGTCAGCCCGGGGGATGGAAGTGACAAGTCAGCATAGATCGCACCAGTTAAGTATAAACAATTGATTGCGACGTCCGGGGGTGCTTGCGTGAGATGAAAAGGTGTTGGGATAGACGATGAGCGAATAAACAAGATGCGGCGGGCGACGGCGAGTAGAAATTGATCGCCTGTCGACGTCCGTACAGAGGGAGATGAGAGCACGAAATTATTTCTAAGTGGCAAGGAAAGCGATGGATATGGCAGGACGGCTTGTGGATAGATACTGGGCGCGGAGGGTAAGCGACAGCGGACGGGCTGGCCCTCGTCGGCGGTGTACGGCGTCAAGATGGAGCGATCACAACGTGCCCTCGGTGCGGAGAGGAATGGTCTGGCCAATAAATATGCGACTTGTGCAGAACACGCCTGAGCGTCGTGTCTGGTATCGATGAGCTCTTCTTGCTTCTGCTGGGGGCGGGGCGAAGAACACGGTGGTTGTTGCAAGAAGAGTCCGAGCGAGGCCCGACCAGATGTCGACAGCTGCGCGCACCGCCTTTCCCTCTGACGATCACCGACGGTCGTCCCTTTCGTTTCGTCTCCCTACATGATCCTTTCTCCTTACACAAGCTTTTCCCGACATACATACTTATCATTTGTCCTGCCGTTATCAGAAGTACCCACTACAAATCTACCGCATGCCCTCGGGCCAGCTTCACCGCGTTCTCTGAACCTTCCTCCTCGTGCCCTTGACGGCGTCTTGCCCTCATCATTCTTTGGAACAATCTCTAGTGTCAACAGGGTCGGATGCATGGTATCACTCTAGAAAACTCGGATCTTCCTTATCGTCACGCCACTCGTGTAGCGATTTTGGGCGCCTGCATGACACTCAACTCGGGGGGACCCATACACATACATAAGGCCGAACTCTTACACGCGGCTTCCCTGTACGGCACTATCTGACGTGACAATCTGCACACGTACTCGTCTACCATCAGACCCGCCAATGATTCTGAACCGTCTGTAGGCTGGGAGAAGTCAGAACGCACAGATGCGCCCACCTCGCCGCCGCCGCGTCCGGGCTACTTTCGAAGTCCAGGCGCTGAGGAGAGCCCAAGGACATATATTCAATATTCATTCACAAGGCGCCAGCATGTACAAGGTCCGATATGAAGACGCTCCACGTACGATTTCGTACTGGAGTTCAGCCAACGACCCACCCACGACGAGCATTCACCGTCGGATTTACTCTCAAAATCCCAAGGGGCGGAATTGGCGATGAGATGTCTGGGAAGCCCGCTATATGTACATGAACTACTGTCTCGTGATTGCTTATTACAACGGTACGGGCTTCCGCACAACCTATGACCTCAGCTATGCGTCTAAAAGTCAAAGTCAATGCGCGTGCGAGTGAACAAAAAATCATATCTCACAGTATGACGTCCCAACGAGCATTGTCGATAGGTTCTGTTGTTCATCCTCCGTGAAGGCCAGCTGATCATGGAACCAGGTGTCCTGGTGCGTCTAGAGAAGGTTGAGCGGAGAACAGAGAGGCCGCAATTGTCCAAACTTACTTTCTTGAACTCCGACGCGGTCTTCCTGATTGTAGTCGAAATGGGCGGAGGGTCGGTAGCGTGAGCGGCTAGTACTAAACGCAGCAGTCGAGCGTAAGAGCGTAAACCCAAACGGGTCAGGAGAACGCTCACCGTCCGTGAGAGGCGGCATCCACTTCTCGACGGAATACGGGACACTCTCAATGAGCGCGCATATACCAAGAACCGCAGAATGCAGCGTGCGCAAGGCATCTGCGTATCCCGAGTTCGAACGTGCCGGTAGCTTCGTCCTGCGGATGGTCTTCTTGAAGCGATCCTAAAAACGCAGATCGTCTCATGCCGTATGCGGTGATAGCGCGAGACGCACCAAAAGGGGCCCGATACTCTGACGTTGGGAGACGCGCACAACGCTTGAGAGCGTCTTCATCGCCGTTTCACGCACTTCGACATTGTCATCCGCGAGGCAATCGAGCAACAGGTCCATGACGCGCTGCTGCGTCGCCTCATTGACGCTCAGAAGATTACGGTAGAAAAAGACCATAAGGGGTTCTGCTCTGCTTTGAGTAACAGCTCTAGTTATCGGAAGATAGTGAGACAGCGTACTGAGCGTGTGTAAACGCGTCCGCCACGACTCGGAGGTCTTGCAAGCGTCAATGAAGATCGACAACACATCGTCTACGATTGAGGTTCGGGGCGGGGCTACAGCAGCGATGATGTAGAGCACAGCTTGGCTATGTGTTTGCAGCTCAGGGTTGTCGCCAAGCTCAGTCATGCCCGTGCGCAAAAACTGGGAACTAAGCGAAGCTCAATGGATGAAACAGCAAGCGCAAACAGGTCACTCACAGAAGTGGGAGAGCGAAAGAGTAGTATATGGGAGCGTTGCTGCTGTAGAATGCGATCCATAGGAACCGTAAGAGGCATAGGGAAACTTTGTCGTATTCTGACTGAGCAACACGCGGCGGAGGCAAACGCTCTCCACGCCAGGCGGTGAGTTTGTCAGAGAGTTGGACTATTCGAGCAGCGTAAGGTACATCGCTAGTTGTAAGTGAGTTCACACAGTTGAATAGACCATCTAAGACTGCATACCGAGAACGAAGAGGATCTTCGAGGGTTACACAAGCGTCGAGGAATGCCGAGGTAGAAGAGTAACCTGGTCGCCAACGATGTAGAATGCATGTATGGAGGCTTTCCGCAATGGTCACGCGAAGCTGGAAAATGGTCAGTACACCGTCTCAGAAGCAAGATTGATGGCTTATACCTCAGCGTATGTTAGGTTGACATTGGCATAATATAGCTCAAACTGCTTGTCCACTGCATTCAAATCCTGGTGTCCGGCGTAATCCAAGTAACAGCCGAGGACTGTCATAGTCTTCGCCACTGAATGTTGACATGAGTATTTGAGCACCATAGCGCGAGAGGGATACATACTTTCGAATGCTGACTCGCTCTGCAGGTCATCCGTGTATAGAGATTCGATCCAGGAGATGAGCTCTGGTAGACGCCGTGTATCGCGGCCTTGCAGTTGGTTCTTTCGGATGGATCAAGACTTCTGTCACAATCACGAAATTGGGTGAACCTACGGAGAGGCAGGACTCAAACAGAGCAATGGTATCGGGCTTGATCTGGGAGTATATCTTCGGGTAGATTCCGACGGCCCATGACCAGAGTGCGTCGCGATATTGCTTCGGCCAGTGTTTCGAGCCTATATGAGTGCGCTCAAGTGAATAGCTGGTCAGTGTACGTAGTGATCAAGCTGGCGCACCGCGCGTAACTCCTGCCAGGAACTCGAACCCAGCACGCTGCTTGAAGCGATCAATATCGAAAAGCATGGTCTCAACAGCTGACAGCGTCTGCTGTAGCCCATTGCCCTGCAGAGTCTTGGCTGAACGCGATGTGAGTCGGGCGTTTTCGCACTTGAGAACACGCTACGCACCAAGAGACTTGGTGAAGTTGACATGGTCCGCGCGAATGTCGGGCTTCGCGGAAGCCCGTGCAGATTCTTGTCCGTAAATATCCATCAGTGCTGTTACATAGTCGATGTTGACGGTCTCCTCGATCACGCGAACAGCAGGTCGCGATGCCGCCTCCCATTCAATTGGTGCTTCGCTTTCTGCTACAGATTTGTACGCCTTGATACCGCGAGGGTGCCATACCAGCCAGCCGGACATGACCTTATCAATATAGCTCGCTCTGGTGGGTATTGTGAGTAATGCTTCAGGAGTGCAAACGAAGACCGGCACCCACTCCTGCCCAGCCGGATCGATGTTGCGGTGGACGATGTCATGATATTCGCCATCAGACTGGATGCGCACGGCCGAAGAGAGGGGGCTAGAGTACTCATGAAGCCAAAGCTCTTCATTTGATTTCGCGTATGACCGTATCTTGATCAACGCTGTCAACTTCACGACACCCCTACACATTCTTCAGTCGACTCGTACCAACAAAGTCATGAACCATACATACTTCTGTGCGCTATTTCTGAGGCTCGCGTGCGGGCTGGTCGTATGTTTCATGAACAATCGGGCGACATCCGCGGATGGAGGAGCGTCGCGCCGAAGAAGACCGCGCAGGAACTTGAGCGCAAAGCTCACATATCTCCACTATTGAGGCGGGTCAGGATTGCCGTCAATATCACGATAGGTCTGCGCACGTGTGTCGTTGGCCGTGTGGCAATGTCTACGATGCTAGCGATGGTCTCCTTGTACCTCTTCTCTTTCTGGATGACACGGACAGAGCTCTTGATTTGAGCCTCGGATAAGATCGCCTGGTCGATGTATGCGGGGGTGAAATGAGCGCTCAGGTCCTGAAGAACTTGGCGCACGCCGGGGATATCGTCCGGATAACCATCTGTACGCAAAGCCTCTTCATCCAGGTAGGCGGGCGCATCCTTAGCGAGAGAAGTCACAAGTTGCTGTACCGAGGGCTTCTCTTCATGCTGGCACTGCAAGATCACGAGAAGATGTTGTCCATAGAATAGAGGGTCCTTGGAGTCAGCAATGGCATACGTGGCAAACCCCTTATTTAAGATCACATATAGCGCGCCTGTAGGTGTGATGAGGACGATTCGTGACGGTAAAGGAGCAGGACTGACCCTTCATCCTGTCGGGGTCTGTACCACGCGCGAGAGCGGAGTACATGATGGGAAGGACCATCCTCGTGGACCGGATGTAGATCGAGCAGACGCGATGAAGAGAACCTTGAGCCGATTTGCGTACACGCACATATGGACTAAGGCAGAGGTTGGCGAGATCCTTGATGAGGCCGTCCTCGACTGCTCCGCGGCGCCGATAGAAACCGTTGAGGTATAAGCGACAAGCGTGATGGAGGTGGGCACGACGGATGGCTTGGGGTCGAAGCTGGACTTGGTCCTTTGGCCAGATGCGGCTTGAACTTCGGACGACGCGGATCAGACCGAGCCCGCGGAAAGGCCGTTTAGTATCACTCACTCCCGTAGACGTGTATAGGCCTTATCAAGGGCCGTGAACGTCGTGTGCAGCATCCCATATGCGGACAGGCACGTCTCAATGGATTTCGCAAGCAGAGAGATGGCGTCGATATGATCTTCACCTTCGGCGCGGCTTTGATTAAGAGCACCAACTGCGCGGTGCAAAACATCGCAGTACTTGGTGCGATGAGACACTGCTATCTTGTAACGCGAGTCGGAAGCCTCCGTGAGCGCGAAGCCAGCGTTAGGCAACACTGGGGTAACAACGAGTCCTTCCACCTCTGCTTCAGCGTTCATACCTGACCAGACAGTATCCTTTGAGCCCTCCTTGCGCAGTGCCGGGAGCCCTGCCCATGCATACCTAGCGGTATGGAGACATAAGTCAGACATCAACTCAATGTGACGTCGCTCGACCCTCACCGACAGAACTCAAGATTGCGACAGAAGTCGTTGCGCTCAACATTTGTCCATGTCTGCGCGTTGCTGATGAGATCCTCGACGCGGTCCAGAGCTGGCTGGACGAGTTTGTTCAGAATCTCAAGGACCATGTCCACTTCGTCCTCAGATGGCGCTGTAGATACTCATCAGAGAAGGCCTTGCCGCGTTAGGTGGTACATACTGTGCCAATTGACCACAACATCCTCACACTTATATAGGCGTCCCCATTGCTCGTTGCCGAAGTTGGCGCCATGCCATTCGTCAGGGTTGGCCGAATAGCTCTCTACTGGGTGAGTGCCGATGAGCGCAATCATGAGTCTGAACAGAAGCCGCCCTGTTGCGTCATAGCCACGCTCGCTGAACGTTTTCTCGTGAAGCTCCGAGAGCACGTCCAGTATGGCGGCCTTATGAGTCAGTAACTGAAAGACAGTGTGAGTTGACTGGTGGTAATAGGAGATAAGAGTCGGCGTACGTGACTCCCGGACGTCATGAGACAGCCCCGTAGAATGCTGATATACCAATGGAGTGTAGTGTCGCTCGGCGCAGCAGCCGCACTCGATGTTGACCGTGAGCTTGAAGCACCATGCTTGAGCTCCTCCTTGATGTTCTGCACGCAAAGTGGAATAAACTTGTTCGCCGTCTTCACGCTGTCGCGCCGGGCGAGGCAGGATATCAGGTCTCCGAAAGCTCTCACGGAGTTCGATTTCGCGTTAGTACAAGCGTAGTCGTAGAGGACGCGAAGCCAAAGGTCGAAGAGTTCGTCACTGAGCTGCTGGCTGACTTGTTCCACGGCAGCCTTCAACGATTTCACGACTGCGTCCTCGGAGCGACCGCCGATGGTGTTCGATTTGCCGCCTTCCTCGGGTAGGTTCTCGTACAAGGCCAACACGCGGTGAATGAACGCAATCAACCACTCTACGAGGGACTGTTAACATGTTAAGCGGGACGGAAGAGCGCTGACTGACCTGCAAACCCAGCGGTGCTCTCCCTCGCCAATGCTCTCTCCTCTTGAACCGATAGAACGGGCATTGACGTGTCCGGCAAGCGAAGGTCATCGTCGACATCCGTGGGAGGCTGGTCAACGGCGCCCGATGCACTGAAGGGCACCGCAGAGATATCCCTGAACTGGATTCGTGCGGCGATCTCTGCGATGAAAGTTGAGCTATGGTGCGATAAGTCAAGTGTCTCAATTCCGCAGTAAGCAATCGGACCTATAGATCGTTTTCGTCGGATCGTTCAAGTCTATCGCAGGTAGGCAGAGCTCGAGCAGCGGCAGGATATGACGTTGACCACCAACGTAAAGCGCCTCGGTTGCCAGGAGAGGTGCTATTGCAGTCATCTGGCATAGTACTGCAGTCGTCCTATGCGTTTCATTGACCGACTCTAGTCCGCCGTAAGCTCGCTCCAGTAGGTCTGGCATCACTAGCTTGGGCTCCAAGATCGCGAGACCACGCAAAGCAGACTGAGCGAGTCCCATTGAGATAGGGTCCTTGGAGAACATAGCAAGTAGAGCCGGAGTGCGCAAGATCTCAACAAAGGCGCGCTTGATGCCGTTGGTAAGGCGCCGATGGGCCGGTGTCTTGCATTCGGGAGACTGTTCCTCTTTCCAACGCTGCTGGAACACGGTGGCGAAGGAAGCCAGTAGCGACGTCAGCGCGATGGTCCATACACCCGAATTAGAAGGATGAAAGAAAGACTCTGTGGAATGGATAAGCCTGGCGAGAGAGTCCAAGGCTTTGCAGCCAGCAACGAGATCCGCCGAAGCACCAGCTCCTGGCGAATCTGTAGCAGAAGCAACGCTGCGGGGAGGGCCATCTTCGGCCATGGAGTAGATGAAGGCTTGGGCAAGAGAGCCGAATCGATTGACAGGCTTCTTGACGAGGGCCACGGACGCATCCGATCGGATATCTGCATAATGGCCAGTTGTGCTTGCACCCTACGGGTAAATCAGTACGACGTATCAGCACATATAGAAGTTTGCGCACTTTGGAAGCGCCAACAGGAACATCTGTCAGAATGGAGCATTCAGTCGCAGAATTAGACATATCGAAAACCTTGACTCACTAACACTGCCCAGCGCTTTGTTCGCCACCGTGCGCCACTGGGCATGCGTCCACATACCGACGTCCTTCCAAACAACATCACCCTCGATAGAGCCATCCGCGGCGACATGTTCTTGTGATAGCGCACCAATAAGTTCCACCATGCGATCGTCCAGGACTGAGTGTGTAACATGAGATGTAATTTTTGGATGACCTCGAATACCACGTACTGGTGGAGTTAGTGACCTCCCATATCTTGAACAGAGCGGGCAAGTAGGCGTTGGCTTTGTCCAAAGGTAGAAAGGAGATCAAGATGGATGCGGTCGTGGGGATCATCTCTTGCTTCAACAGCGGCACAAACTCGTCAAGCATTTCCTGCACAGCCGAGTCGCTAGAGAAGTAACGCCTGCAATATTCCGCCAAGTTGATGTAGAGGCCGGCCATAGGACGGCTGTCGATGCTGTCAAAAACATATACACCGGTATATTTATGCTGCATGGCACACCTAGCATCATGTAAACGACTCTTGATCTGTACTTCTCTTCTCAAGACACGCCAAAGTGGCCGCCAGGGAAGTCGCAGATCCTCTATCTCAAGCCTCCTCCGGCCGTCCGAGCGGGGAGACAGCAGCCGAGAGATTATGTCGATCCATCCGCGCACAACGCGGGGTGCAATCCCCGGCAAGATGGCCAGCTCGAAGTAGAGACGAACGAGCTTCGCGCGAAGGGGCTTCGGCATCGGATACCGAAGCAAAAGCCAGCTGGTAACATTCGTACTTGACCTCATATCATGCCATGAGAAAGTAGGTTGCGTACCACTCCAATACGGCGTCCCAAGTCGAAAGCGTCATGAAGTCCTTGGTCTCCGCGCAGATGGCGACGCGACCTAATATAAACTCAAGATTTGCCAGGATCTGTTCATCTGTCTCGCAAGGATACGGCAAAGACTTGAGATAAGCCTGGTGCTGCGCTGTGTCGTCTTCTGGGTCGATGATATCCGGAGCGTCCGAGCTCGACCCGCCTAGGTCTACGGCGACGGCGGCTGAGAGCATCTCCTGCAGAGACATGGCGGGGAAGGATCAAAGGGTGTTCAACCCTTGGCAGCCGTCGGTCAGGATTATATAACTATCCAGACTTTTGTTGGTGCGATGGCGCGTCGAAAGAGAGCGCGAGCTTACGCGTCGGAACGCGTACCAACGACGCGCGTATGGATTGTCCCACGGGACTGCGGCCATCGTGTGGCGCAACTGCCGGCTTTCTCTCTCGCCGCCAATGATGTTTGCAGCCCGGCGCGTCCTTGCCTCGGTGTCTACCCGTCGCTCCTTCGCCACTGCCCGTCATGGCGTTCGTATGCATGGCTGGCGGAAACCTCTCTTCTGGGGCGCTTGTTTCACTTTCCCCGCCGCATACGCCTTGAAGCACTCAATCTCGCTGGACGCGGAGGTGGCCACAGATGAAGTGGGTGCGTAGCAGTCCCTCCGTACCAGAGCACGTCTCACTCAACCATCACATGCAGTCGACCCCGACACGGCCATCACGTTCCCTCGCACGCTTTCCGTTCAGTCCAAAGTTAAATTACCCACGTACACTCTACTTGGTTGTGGCGTCCGGACGGTGTCTTTCTTGGGCATTAAAGTCTACTCTGTCGGCTTCTACGCCGACTTGAGCAACCCAAAGCTGGAAGAGCTCCCCAGGTCTGCGTCTGCAGAGGAGAAGATCAAGTTTCTCGTCGACAACACGTCCTGCTTGCTGAGAATCAGTATGCAAACGCGCCTGTCACGCCTCTTGAGCTGTGCTTACATTCCTCCATGCAGTCCCTACGCGCAACACTTCGTATACTCACTTACGCGACGCGTTCATACGTACCCTGACTGCCCGTATACAAGCAGCGTACACAGGCAAGACTATGACTCAAGAGGACGCTGTCGCTGTCGCTTCACCGATGAATACTCTCAAGTCCATGTTCCCGAACGCCACTTTCGCCAAGCACCAGCCGCTTGACATTATATTGACGCCCCCGAACATCATTCAGGAGCGGACACTCATTGTGCGAGATCTCGGCGCGGTCACGAACGACTGGGTATCCAAGACGATCGTACTATCATACTTTGATGGCCAAGGCAACAGCCCACCGGTGAGTAATTGGTGATTTCCGTTGAAAGCCAAGCCATTGACGGCCCCTCTTAGATGAAGAAAGCTGTTTGGGAGTCTCTGGAGACCGTGGGCGGCAGATGATACAGCGGTTTACATGCTGAGCACAGAATCATCTAGCACTTCTAGACGTACAACATCCGCGACAAGAGTACATACTATATTAGCTTGAGAACGCCTCGGTCATCTCGTGGACCAATTGTGGCAATCTATCTGCAGACAGTAACATCATCCGCCCTCCCAAGTCCAGTCCGAAAGAGTCCTCTTCCCTTGGTTGAGCATGGGTAAATTCGTAATCAACGGAGTGTTGTGCTAACTAAGGTCGGCGTTAGCAGGGCTAGCTGGAATTAAGCTGTCGCTGTCAAGCTTACCTTTTTAATGATGGGGTCCTCGTGGTGAAACGAATAAACGCCGTTCGTTGGGCTCTGTAGATGTGTCTGTTGCGCGCGGCGCCTTTTATTCTGAGAAGGGGTAGACTGTGCATTTAGTGCCACCTCTTCTTCCGAGGACAAACGATATATCCGTGAGAAGAAGAGCAGATGGGAGAATGCATATGACTGATTCTGCAGGTCAACTGGTCAATGCGAATATAGTGCACATGTGAACGGCTGTACTTGCCTGTGTGACAGCAGCCTGTAATTCGTCGATGAGCATGCGGTACATGTGCGGCACAACTTGAACAGGCATATTGATTAGGCGCTCGGAGAAGATAAGACCAACGCGGGTCGAGGCGTCAGAGGATTCTAAGAGTGATTGGAGTGTCGCTGAGAAGGCTGGGTCGCCTTGCGATTTTAGGAGGGCATATTCTGCGAGGGCTTTAATAGATGCATTGTGCTAGGAAGAGACGATGGAGTCAGCTGTGGATCTTGTCGCGAAGCCTGTATGCATACTTTGTGCTCATGTATATTGAGCGCTGTCAGAATAGCGTAAGGGTCGCTCTCTTTTCCATCCGTCTTTACTGTTGAGCCGACTTGTGGCTGCGAGAGGATGAGGTCGGCTAAATCAGACGGGTGGAGTTGCTCGGCATCGGTCTGGAAGACCTGTACGATCAGACGTTTGAGTGCATGAAAATCGACTTCGGGATCCGGGTCGAAAAAGTCAAAGTCGATGTTGATGAGATTCTACTATGTGCGATGAGCATTATGTTTGTGTGCATGGGCGAATTGCTTTCTACTTCGCCATCGTTGTCACTGCCACTGTCAGAATCAGTCTGCTTGCGTTTGGACATGGTGGTGATGAGGGTTTTGAACGAGTTGCAGGCGCGAGAAAGTTACACGATCCGAGGCCGAGACGCCGACGCTGCGAAGTCTGTTCCGCTGATCGACATTTATGTACGTTGTTTCTTTCTTCGATGATGGAGCAGCGGCATCGATGGACAGACCCGCGCGGTCACTTGCGTCCGCTATCTCCTCGCGTTTGCCATGATTATGAGCGGTGGCGCACTGCCGCCGCCGGCTGCTGCGTTTCGGCACCTTGACTCGGACCATATCCAGCTCGACGTCGTCAAGACCGCCCTCACTTCTTCGTCCTGAACTGCCCTCATGCTTTCCCGCATCACACCCAGGGCGCGCTTCTCCAGGCTAACGCTCAGGGCACTCGGTCGCGCAAGGTTTCTGACTCGCAATTCAAATCCATCGCCAGCTGGGCCCAATGCGCTGCGAGCCGCTGTTGCCACTTCCGGCGTGTCCTTGGCCGCATATCTTCTACTATCCGGCAACGACCCGCGCGTATTCGCGGACGCCGCACAGGACGACAGGGCCGCTCAGGACGAGTCTCTGCCAGAGCTTGCGCGTTCGTATCTCGTCTACACGATATGTTCGTTCCCGTGGCTCGTAGACCTTGCCCCGTCTGCCCTGAGCGCCTTGACCTCAACGCCTGGTCTCAAACAGCTTACGGAGGCTGTGGTCAAGAAGACATTCTTTGCACAGGTGCTGCGCGACTTCTTTTCTACGCCTAACGCGTGCTAATTGTCCGATCAGTTTGTGGGAGGAGAGTCATCAACAGACTGCCTGCCGGTCTTAGAACGACTGCGGTCGAACAACAAGGGAGCTTTGTTTGTCTACAGTGCCGAAGTCGATGAGGAAGAGGCTGCTGGGATGGTCACTACCGACGGCAAGGAAAAGCTGGCCCCACATCGTGAAGTTGTGCAAGAGGTTCTGCGAGCTATCACGACCGCTGCCGACTTCGAGGACTCGCGTGTGTCTCCGACGACACCGAACGCTCGTCGCACTTGGGTTGCTGTTAAACTCACTGCGATGGTTCCCAATCACGAGACCTTGATCAAGCTATCTAAATACCTTGTTGATGTCGCTCAGACCCGGCCACACGATCCACCAGTCGCATTTCCGGGATGCCCTCGGAAGGGTGATCTAGATATTCTCCGTACTCCCCAGGTTCCCGCCTCCTACTTGTCTGATAGCGATGTATTGGACCTCATTGAGCTTTATCGGAACTTGAGGACAATATGTGCTCACGCCCAGTCCCGTGGCATTCGCCTCACGCTGGATGCCGAGCACACTTGGTATCAGGTGAGAGTTATTACTCAATGATTTGTGTCCTATGTCTCACTGTATCCAGCCTGCAGTGGACGCAATGGGTGTCGAGCTTATGAGGGAGTTCAACAAACTACCGGACTCCGCTTCTGCAGTACGAACTGCACCCGTGCCCCTTGTGTACGGGACGTTCCAGGCGTACCTTTGTCGGTGAGTTCGGAATGATATCATTAGCTTTCCCTTACATTCTGACTCCACATTCATCAGCACGCCCGAGTTTTTGGCACAGTCACTCAAGGATGCGAAGGCCGGGAACTATACTCTAGGCGTCAAACTTGTCCGCGGTGCTTATCACGAGCAGGAGAACAACGTTCACGCCATTGCGCGGTCCTCCCAGGGAGAAGCACCAGTCAAAAGGGTCTCTCCATCCATTTCTCGGGACTCACTCTCTCCCATCTGGCCATCTAAAGAAGCGACAGATGCGTGCTATGCGCTCTGTACGCGATTAGTTCTGGACCAGATACGTGAGGATATTCGGGGATCAAGTTCCCAAGTTGGGCTCATGGGATGGCTGTCATATCTCTGGGGACAAAGCAATGGCAGATTACCGACAGTCGCAGTGCTTTTCGGGACTCACAACTGGGATAGTTGCCGTCTGGTTCTACAGCGACTCGCAGACTCGGGACTGGCACGGCCCGTCGCTTACATCGCTTCGGAGAATCAGCCTGAGGGTTATGGACTCCCTGATGAGCCTGTACTCTCCATCGCTGATGATGTTGCCGACCGAGTCACCCTTTCTCAGCTGTACGGGATGAGTGATACGCTTACGGATTACATATCCTCGCGTACACGCACTTCATCCCCTATAGTCTTGAAGTATCTACCTTACGGTGGTCTCTCCGAGGTAAGTCTCAATAGTGATTATTCTCTCATCGTAGATCATTCATATATATAGGTCATGCCCTACCTTGCGCGGCGGGCGGTAGAAAACAAAGCCGTCCTTGGCAATGGACAAGCGGCGATCGAGAAGAGGCAGGTGTGGGCAGCAATGCGGAAACGGTTAATGGGTTAATGACCTGGTACAGATGCTGAATGTTGAGAAGAATACCGTACGTCTTACTCAGAGGAGAAAAATAATAATGTCGATATCCGAATTCGGCCCAATCGGCCCAATCAACCACGTGGTTTCGATCTTCGGAACGGCGCCCCGCTTGAAGCTTGAAGCTTGAAGGCCGATCATGCACAAGCCAACTTATCATGTTCGCCCCGGCGACTTCGCCTGAGGGAGCTAAGTATCCCGAGAGCGTGTAGATAATGAGTTACCGACGTACTCAAACTCGTGCCCTCTCGCAGCTTCAGGGCCCAGCGCTTATCCTGGATCGCCATCACCGCGCTTGTCTTATAAGAGCGCACGTCCCTCGGCAGATTGTCGCTAGTCTCCCTCTGGCACAGTCGCAAGTGGGTACATCTTCTCGTCATGTTGCTGCGGTACTTTCCTCGCCGGATATCCCAAAGCTCCCTTATCTCGAGAAAATTCTTATCTCAGGTCGCGAAACCACGCCGCTCTTTCCTGACCATAAGGCGTGTCGTGGTAGCGTCGGGTGTCACAGTCGCCGCATTCTCCTTGTCTTCATCTGGGTTATTGAGCGAGGACGTCGAAGCCGTTGATGATCACCTTACTCTGGAGGACAGACAAAACACGATGGGCGAGCTCATCCGCCAGTACGCGGTCTATGCCATGTGCTCTTCGCCGACTCTTATCGACTGGGCCCCCTCGATTCTGGAGACACTCACGTCGATCCCGATAATCAGAGAGATAACTGAGGCCGCCGTCTCTCAAACATTCTTCCTGCAGGTAGGATCATAGTCACTTGGTACTCCTTCGCGTCTGACGAGGTCATAGTTTGTCGGGGGACCAACAACGGACGAATGTGTCCCTCTGCTCCAACGGCTCCGGAAGGTGAACATGGGCGTTCTCTTCGCGTACTCTGTCGAAGTCGACGAGGATAAGGCTTCCGGGCACAAAAATGGTAGTGAACCAAAAGAGGCCTTGCACAAGCGCATCGTGAAGGAGATGATGCATTCCATTGACGTAGCTGGGTCCGCAGTTTCGCCGAAGAAAGCCCAGACGCTGATCTGACTACCTGCCTTCGCATCCAGGGACTTCGAGGATGCCACTGCTGGTACCAAGGTCATACCAAACCGCAGACGAGCCTGGGTAGCAGTGAAGCTTACAGCCCTAGTACCGGACCACATCTCTCTCGTGAATTTCTCCAAAGACCTCACCGTCTCCGCTCAGAATCGACCGGTTCCCCTTCGTATGGCTTTTCCCGGCTGTCCTCGTTCGGGAGATCTTCAGGCTCTGCATGTCACTTCGCCAGGCTCGGACTCGTACATGACTGCCGCCGATCTCGCTGCTTTGACGGAACTCCATCAAGATTTGAGAACCATCTGTGCTCATGCTCAGACACGGGGAGTGCGTATCATCATTGACGCTGAGTATTCGTAAGTACTCCTGCCCGTATTCGCTATAAATGCTCACTGTCTCTTCAGGTGGTACCAGCCTGCCGTAGACGCCCTCACCTTGGCGCTGATGCGCGAGTTCAATCGTCTACCAAGCTCGGAGCAAGAAGCCGCACATTTGGCGACACCACTGGTCTACAACACTTTCCAGGCTTATCTTCGTCGGTCCGTGCTCATCTGCAAGCTAGGTTATGGTGCGACTGGACTCACCTTGTATCCCATAGGACTCCGACATACTTAGCGCAATCTATTCAAGACGCTCGAACCGGCAACTACGCTCTGGGTGTGAAGCTTGTTAGAGGTCCTTCGCATGCTACTTGCACAGAGATTGGGATTCTCATCCTTAACTACAGGCGCATACCATGAACAGGAGAACGAGGCTCACGAACAGCTCCGCACTACAGGTGCATCACACTCGATCTCACCCGATCCTTTCCCGCCCGTATGGTCTTCGAAGCTGGACACGGACGCCAGCTATAACGCGTGTGCACGGCTGCTTTTAGACACCATCGCGCAGGATATCGCAGTCTCGCGAGATCTGTCAGAGACGCGATGGCTCCCTGCTTTCGCTAGACAACGGCGTATCAAAACGCCAAGCATCGCCGTGCTTTTCGGCTCCCACAATTGGGACTCCATCAGAGATATCCTTGGGGGACTCGAGGAAGCTGGACTGGCTAAACCAATAGGCAAATTCCCCGCTTATGAGAAGCCGGACGGTCAGCTTTTGCCCGAAGACACCGTTCTTGAGCTTCCGGACGACGTCGCGGAGCGCATTACCATCGGTCAACTATATGGCATGGGCAACTCTCTTTCCAACTATATCGTCGCACGAACGCGCAGTTCGACGCCCGTTGTCCTGAAGTACATCCCGTATGGTTCTCTTGCGGAGGTAAGTCCACGGCACACACCATCTTCAGCAGTCAATCGTTGAGAGCGCCGGTTAGGTGATGCCGTATCTGGCACGCCGAGCCATCGAGAATAAGGCCGTGCTCGGGAATGGCCAAGCCGCCATTGAGAGAAGACAAGCATGGCGGGAGATTCGCAAGAGAGTAGGAATATGAGTTTGATGTCGCTCGACTTCAAAGGCCTTCCGTCCAAGAAGATGCAACATGTAGGATGCACAGCGCTACAAGACAATTGGTACACATACACAGTAGATCAACAGTTTCCCGTATCTCAATGACCCGCAAGCTCATTGAATTCGGCCCCCCACTGAGGCGACTTCTTCACCTCTGCAACCAAAGCCTCAAATTTGGGTGCGGCTCCCGGAGGCGTGATCTTGCTAAGAGCTGCAACAGCGCGCAAAGTGCTTCGCTGGATCTCCGCCGCCCGCTCGAGGTCTTGCTTGACAGTATCTTTGTTGATCGTAGCATCCTTCATAGACGCCTCGAGCATGGGCGTGGCCTCGGCCAGGTGCTGCACCACAGCGGTGGGTGCGATCTGTGACAGGCGGAAGAGCATCATATGCGAGATGACCTTTATTTCGTCCGATGTATCAGCGAGGCCGACGAGGACGTGCTTCAGATACTCGTTTAGATCGAGCTTAGCGAGACAAGTGTCCAGCTACAATTCCATTAGCACTTGACTCTACGCGAGGCGAACAAGTTTCATACCAGAGTGTATAGTGTCTCGTACGCGGTCTTGCGAGCGTCGAGACCGTCATCAACCTTGTGCTGCCAAGGGCCCATCTGCACTGTGCGGATGAGCTCGGGCTTGAGGATTGTCTCCGCGTAGAGCTTCGGCAACAGCGTGGACAGGTGTTCACGGATGAGATGAGGCTTTGCCTTTGCGCATGCGTTAAACGCCGACAATGCCGCACGGCGAACGGGCTATGACCAGACGTTAGACTCTCAGTCGTCAAGCTCAAACATGAACACACTCACAAGAGCAGGATCACTCATTAACGTGAGGAAGTCGAGGACATGCGGCGCGAGGATCTCGTCGTAGGAGGGCGAAGAATCTGCGAAGGTGTAGCGCATGGCTGCAAGTACTGTGACCCTCGTGGCGGCGTTCTCGTCAGAGAGGCGCGACTGCACACGAGGTAAGCGAATGAGACCAAGATTCATTGCAACTGAACTGACATGGACTTGTGGCAGGTACCGTGACGCATTCGTTGTGATGAGCTTGCCGATGCATGCCGCGGCAACACTCTGGGCGCTCTCGTCCGCACCTTCGGAGCTCTCAAAGAGTGGCCCCCAGAGTGCCTCCGCGTAGTTCTCCAGCTGTCCGGTGGACGTGTGCGTTGCAACTTCCTTTAGGGCCTGTAGCGCAAGTAGCCGTTTCTGCGCATCACCCTGTACAAGCTTCACAAGTGTGGGGAGGAATTGGTGTAGATTTCCAATCGCGATGTTGCCTGGACGGACTATTCAGCAAACCGGATAGGAAGAGTATACCGACAATTACACACCGGCAGCGAAAGCGGCAGCAACACGAACGTCCTCCTGGTCAGAACTGAAGAGTTCGATGGCCTGAGCAAAGATGTCGCGGTTCGGCGTCATGTCGCTTTGATCGCTGTCAGCAAGAGGGTATGGCAACGGTCCCCGTAAGTGGTACTCACACAAACCGACCTATCTCTCCAAGAACGAGAAGGCTGAGAACAACTTGCGAAGCTGTCGCCTTCGAGCCAGCCTGGCCAAGTATAGTCAGACTTGATGATGGCCAAGGCTAATGCACAGATCATACCTTGACGTGTTTGGAAAACTCGGCAGTGATGCCCGCCGTAACAGCCGGCGCGCTCTTGACGACCTGAGCGACACATTTCGCGATGTTGGCCTGGCTTACATCACCGCTGGATGCCTTCTCAGCAGAGTGAACGAGAGTGGGGACGATGTGCGTGGAAATCTGGCCATCAGCTTCCACGAGTGCCGCCATGAACGCCAGCATAGACTCCAGGCCGGCTCCGACAAGCAAAGGCGAGTGTGCGACGTTGCAGATGTCAGCAAGAGCATCACGCTCGACCTCCGGGAAAGTCGTGGCGGGGGAGAGGCGAAGCATGAGCGCAAGGAGAGAAAGGGCTTGAGAAAGCAGAGCGATGTCCGCGATCGACAAGTAAGCTTTCAAGTCCGGAACAAGAGTGGGTGCAATGTGCGCCGGTATGCTGTCGTACCTGAAGCAATAGTTGAGCTCATATGATACAATTGACGAAGAAGAGTACACACCTGCTGAGGAGAACGGCGAGACACTCGAACAACTCGACCTTACCGATACGACCTGCCTTCCTGAGCATGGTCAACGACCACTCAACGCAGCTCTGGACCCAGTCTGCACCGACATCGGCCTCCTGTGCGACCCGCGATACAACCTTGATCGCGCCGTCGATCTTGCCGGTAGTGCGGCAGATGAACTGCCATTCCTTCCCGGCCCCCGCCTTAACGACGTCGGTCGCACACACCCAGAGATCGCCAATGATCTCCTCAGCGCGCATGCGAACTTCAGCATCCGTGTCATGGTTGCTCAGACGCTTCAGCGCCTCGTCGTAGATGCTCTTAACCCAGTCTTGACCCTTGACCGGTTTCATCGCATTGAGGATGGCGGACCAGACGCGGATGGACTCAGATGCAACACGGGGATGGCGCTCGGACGCCGTGCTCAGCAGGACGGGACTGATGTTCGGGAGGGCGCTTGTGTAGGCGGGTGGGGGGTGTGTGCCAAAGAAAAGTGTCAGAAATGGCAAGCATGACAGATGTAGGGCCGAGCTAGCCGTCGAAGGGGATTGGGACAGTACAGACTTGGCGATGGAGACAATCAGGGTGGTCTGGTTCGAGAGGCTTCCTGGGAGCACTTCGAGCAGATTGCGCAAGACGCCGAATCCTGCTTGCAGCACATTGACGGGCGCGCGGGGTGACTTCATCTGGTTCAGGAGCGCCTTGGATAATGGCGGGACCTGAGATTGCAGCATCGAGAGGCCGGTTTCCTCCACATCCATGCCGTCAGGCGTACGCTTGCGTTTGAAGCCGACACCATCCTTCGTCTGCGCGTTGCCGCCATATACACGAGTCTGGTTCAGCAAAGCGACGTACGTGGCCCACACCTCCAACCGGACGGTCTCCTCACGGTCAGCAAAGCGCGAGATGAGTACGGGGGAAACGTCTTTGTAGAGCGTCACAAGTAACTCGGGGCGAGTGGCGATGATGGCGGTGTGCAACTTCGTGGCAGACCTGCGAATCTTGTACGAAGTGTCTTCATCATCAGAGTATCTGATTTCAATTAGCAGTGTTTGATATGCTGTCGTGAGATACAACTCACTGGTCGAGGTCTTCGTCCTCTTCGTCCTCTTCATCGGCCATCTCCTCGTCTTCATCATCGTCCCCGCCAGCATAGTTCTGTCGAAGTTAGCTCTGCTTCTAGTCCGTCATGTCAAAACTTACCGGATCATGCTTGATGTACTGGTTCGCCGCCTGAATGATCGATGACAAGAACGGTGTAATTTCTGTGGGGCACTTGAGCGTGATCGTCTCTAAAGCCTGGATCCAGTATGTTGAGTATGTGCGTGTCAGGACGAACGCAGAAACGTGCCTGCAAGCTACTATCGCGCAACTCGTCGTCGTCGCGCGACAACGCCTTCAAGATGGCAAGCACAATATCAGGGAGCGCGGGCGCGACACGCTGCGGCGATACCCGGGCTATAGCAGCAACCAAGTTGACCACGGTACGCTGCTGTTCCAACGCAGCACCTGACGCAAGATTGGGCCGAACCTGAGATGCCAGCAATCCATCGAATAGTTCTTGACTTGAGAGCGGCACAAACTGCGCAAGGGTCTGGGTGGCGCGCTTCCTGACGGCCGGGCGAGCGTGCGAGAGCAAAGGTGCGATGACCACGAGAGGTGGAGGGTCCAGCTCCAAGGCGGTCACATAAGCAGGGAACTCGGAGATGAGGATCGTCAAGATGGAGAGCGTCTCGATGAGCGTTTCAGGAGGTGTCTCTGGCTGGGAATGCTATCAGTTACGATATCGTATAGTCGCAACATCGTAGCTACCTTTGACAGGTGAAGCAGCAGTTGTGGGGTCAGTTTTGCGCAGGCTTTAGGCGCCAGAGTACCGGTCGGTGGCAGCTCAGATGTAATCGTCTTTAATGCTTTCGGTATTTTTAAGCACTAGATCGCTAGTATATGTCATGATCGCTTACCTAAACCAGAGATGTCTCGTAGCTCATCCTCTTTACTCGAAAAGAAAGCGATGAGTTTGTCGACTACGATCTCCATGTGCGCCTCGCGAATAATTTTGATGAGTTGCCCAAGACTATAGCGTGGTTCAGATTGGGGCAAAATTAGAATGAACGCGTAAGCATACCATTTGACCGCCTGGTTCTTTACCTCGGAGATCTTGTCCTCGACTAGCTTCAGGACCTGGTTGAGTACTTTGATCTCCGAAGCTTCATCGCCCAGAAACGACTGCGCATCCGTATTGACTTCCTTCATCAAGTCGCTCAGGCCCATATACCTATCCACGTCGATGAGATCGCGCCCTCAGAACGCAAAAGGCCACCAGGTTTACCTGAAATCCTGGTCGGGCGACTGCATCTGTGGCGGGTATCAGTGGCAAGACGCACAGATTCGGTGTGGGAGACGCACCTTCTCTATAAGCTGGTTCATCACATATGTTTTTGTCATCGTGGGCAGCGATAGTGGTGGGATGTGGCGAGCCGCGAGCGCGTCGCCGTGAGCCCGCCGCGTTGGACGCGCCTGGGGTCGGAATCCGGCCCGGAAGCAGAACGCGTTCGACGCGCCCACGTGAAGCAACGCGCACGTCGCTTGAGGCCTCAGGCCTCAGGTTCCGTCGTATTCTACTCTTTTCTGTCACATCTCGATAGCGGACCAGACAAAAACACAATCTGATAGTCTCCTTCCAACCAACTGCAGTCGCGAGACCCGCTTGATTGACATTTTCTCTCAGAAGCAAGGGCAGCGCGATGTACCCTGAAAGCGGTGAAGCTCTCTGAGCCTCTCTCTTCGCGCAGTATGACATTCACATATATTCTCTCGACTGGAGTCGGACCATGAGCTAATACGGCGAAGCAAATTTTCTATCATTCGAGATTCCATAACCCGCCTCACGCAGCAGGCGCCGTGTGATGTACGAGTCGGGTTTGATCTCGCCATTCAGGGGAGCAAAGTATTTCCGCAATTTGGGGGCCTGTCCAAAGATGACAGGATAGTATAAGCCTTCACTCTACTACAAAGTAAGCCACCGTCGCGATCGGTAAAAGAAATGAAGCAAAACCCGACCTGACGTGTTTTGTCTTTTTTGATCTTCAAGGCTGATACGGTGCCACGATACCAGTTGCCATCTGTGGCCTTCACCCACACAGACTCGCCACGCTACATAGCAAAAGAGAACAATGAGTCATCTTCCAGAGAAGGGAGCTTTTCACTTACAGCGAACGTGTATTCCCAAGGCTCATCGAGATCATCGGGTCCTTGCCCATCCTCGCCCCAGTCTTCTTCCGCAGAATATGATAGCTCACTCTCGGGAGGACTGGGTGGCACATCGTCCACGCAGTCATCGTCGTCAGAAGTCACCGACCGCGAGGAGCCCGCGGCGCTCCTATCAGTGGTAGTATCCTTTGGATGGGGCAACACGCCGACACGCAAGCATTGGCCGGGCAGAGGGAAGACCTGAGCCCCACGCCTGAACATTCTGACGGGCGTATTGGGCTTTGAAGATGACGCCGGAGCAGTATTCTGAACGTGAGTCCAAATAGCTGTGCGTTCCATGGCAGATCAGATGGTGGCTTGCACAGACAAAGGGTCTTTGTGGTGTGTGAGGCAGATGTCGGAGCGCGTGAGTATGCCGAAGGGCTGAGAACAGGGCTGAGAGCTTAAGTACTTGGTGGCGGTGGTCAAAGGACTGCTTTTGTCATCAAAATCAAATATGAGTACAATTGTGGTCCTTGCATGCAGTGCCCCTTTGTTATGTGGTTGACCGCGTGACGCGAGGGGGACGGTCGCTCCCACGGAATACAATGGGCAACGACCACCACTTGAGGCCCATTTTTTACCTAGTATGGAGAGCGATGACCTTCTACGTTCCCTGCTGCATCTGGCATGTCGGACCCTAGGCCTAACATCCTTAAAAATACAGATGTAGACCATCGCAAATAATCAGCCGTACCACAGACGAAGAGTGAGTTAAGTGTAAGAGCGGCCAAGATCCATGAAGACAGTGAAAGAGAGAGAGAGCGTAATCAAGCACCAAAACAACACGAACGAGTCTCCGAGGGTTATGCGCCATCCGCACCTGGGCGTACAAACGCGTCAGCACGATACGAAGAGAGATAGACAGAGCAGTGAGCTTACCACTCTCCTTCGTCCACTCCTCGTGCTTCACGATGTCCTCCGCCGTCACAGTCGGTCGTACGCTTTCCAACGATTTCAAGAAGTCAGCGAATCGCAATGGCGGCTCCTGCAACTCGTCACTCTCCACCGTCGACCAGTTCTTCTCGACGGCTTCGACATCACCGGGCGAACAAGGGGTCCACTTCGTCACGCTTGGGTCTTCATTTGACGGCACTCGTTTGAAGTGAGTTGCGGAAAGGACCTTACGGACGGGTTGCATGAGCGCGTCGCGAACAACGATGGCGATATCAGAACCAGAATAACTGTAGAGTATGTCAGATCGCCTGCGTTCGCATATGAGAGTATCACGACGTACCCCTCAGATTTCGCAGCCAATGTCCGATAGTCTTTCTGTGAGAGTTCGCAGGGTGTCGAGCCGACGTGGATTTCGAACATGGCCTTACGTGCTTCAAGACCCGGCAATGGGATGTAGATACGCTTCTCGAATCTACGGCGTCGATTTCAATGAGGTTCATAGTGCAGTCTGGAGGAAGCGCACCGTCGCTTGATAGCGGGATCCAACGACCAGGGGATATTGGTAGCTCCTAGTACAAGCACGCCGGTATCGTCGTGTCCAACGCCGTTCATCTGCACCAAAAACTCCGTCTTGATTCTCTTCGAGCCCTCCGATTCGCTCTCGTTTCGCGTACCGGCCAGCGAGTCAACTTCGTCAATGAAAATGATAGCCGGTTTATTCTCCCGTGCCATCTGGAAGAGTTGTTTGACTAACCTGAGGCGAGTATGAGTGTTTTAGTAAACGCTCGAGGGACAGGACGGCCCACATACCGTTCCGAGTCTCCCTGCCACTTGCTGACCAGATCGCTAGAGCTGACGCTGAAGAACGTGCTCTTCGCCTCGGTCGCCACGGCCTTGGCCAGATAACTCTTTCCGGTACCGGGTGGGCCGTAGAGCAGGATGCCTCGCCATGGAGTGCGCTTGCCGGTGAACAGATGCGGGAACTTGATCGGCAGGATGACGGCTTCCTTCAAGGACTCCTTCGCAACCTCCAAGCCGGCGACGTCGTCCCACTTGACGTTCGGCTTGTCGACGACGATGGCATTCGCGAGTCCTGCACGCAGTTTCTTGACTTCCGGGTCGTGATCGTCGCCCTCCTCGCCGTCCTTCCTGAGACGGCAATCAGGAATGCAGAACATACATGCCGACGTCAGACGCACTTGGTGCCACTGCCACCGGGTCCGCCATTCGCCATCCCATTCGCGCCGACGGCGCTCCGTGCACGCTTCTCGTTGGCATTATTCAGGTGCTCCTTGAGCACCTCGGCCCTGCCGATGTACTCTGTGACCTTCTGCTTGATCAACTGTTTCGACTTGTCGTTCTTCTCATCTAGATATCGCAATATGAGCCTATACGACCATAGACATAGCCCTAACAAGCACGCACACTTGAGGGCGAGCATAAAGAAGTCGAGCGCATTCTGATACTGCTTGTACGCCTCGGCGTAGTTCTGCTTGGTATCCTCGTCGATAGCGCGCTGCACGATCTCTATCGCGCGCTTTTGGAAATTGACATGAGTTGACATTATGGTTGTGGGCGAGGAGGACGTACGTCCAGGCTCTGGCCAGACATCGGAGGCGTTGTATGATCGGATGTCGCGGAAGGTGGACGCAAGTGAACAAGCGCCCGCGAACAGTCCCGTCGGTAGTTAGGCACGCAAGGCACATGTACACGTTTCAAAGTTCAGTGCGGCAAGCCTACACGCAAGTTCGGCCAACCACTGGAGACCCGTGTCAGGATCTTTTTCTCGGGAAAGTAACCCAGGAGCAGTGAGTACAAGCAACAAAGAAGCAAAAACAGAACTGCGGGATATTTGTGCTGCCCCCTGCAAGGCTCGAACTTGCGACCTCAGGATTACACGGTTCTGACCGCTCACACGCGAAGTATGAGACCTGCGCTCTAGCCAACTGAGCCAAGGAGGCATGATTAGGTCATAAAAGTATAAAATACATAGCGTTCACGTGCCGCATTGACCGCGGCGGGGAAGACAACGGACGAAGCCAGACTTTGAATCTGAACTTCGATGTACCGCAAACGGGCCGCCACAGAGTCACTACTGCCCGACCGCGCCGCCAAGCAGGCGAGGCTAGCCAAGTCCGGAATATTCGCAGATTCAGCCACGGCGAACCAAGAACAGGGCGCATTGGCACGCCTACTGAGCGCGTCTTTCGCGTACATCGAGCAGGGCGTCGACTTTCTGTCCAGGACCATCGATTGTGCGTGTATACTACATGAATATCACGACTGCGCATGCACTTATACAGTCGGCAGCGTGGGAGAACACCAAGGTTGGGACGATGGAGTTGGCGGGGGAGGATGACCCCGAGCCAGACGCGACGCCCAGCCAGAACGCGTCTTGCCGCCTGCCGTCATCGTCCCATCTGTCTATACCGAACGGGGACGCAGACTCCACGTGGAAGGAGAGCTCGGCGCCGCCGCCGTCGTCGGCGTCTGCCATGCCTCCACCTCCGGTCCCCGCCCACGCGCGACCAACCACGCCGGCCCGGACGTACTCGAGCGGGTACATGGACGTGCAGACGCCCGTCGCCGGCTCGGACGTCGTCATGGCAGACGGCGCCTATCTTCGGAGCCGCGCCCCGCCGCCGTCCCCGCACCTGCCCCATCTGGCGACACCGATCGTACCCCGGACAGGACGCGAGGAACTGGCGCCACCGCCCCCTCCCCCCGCCTTTTCCTCCTCTTCCTCTACAAAGTCCTCTCCCACCTCTGTAGCCGGCCCATCCACCCCTTCGACTTCCGTCCCTCGATCGACCTCTCCCGTCCCGACTTCCCACCTACAACCTTCATACACTCCCGACTACTCGCGCAAAGCCGCCGCGAGCTCCGAAGATCCTGCCCAGGCCGGTCCCTCACAGCCCAGAGGGCGCTCGTACGCAGAAACTGCCTATAGCATGTATTCCCACCCGCCGACCGAACCAACCCTACGACGGGACAAGTCCCGGCCTCGAACACATGTATTGCAGAACCATGTGCGCCTCCTCGACCTCCCCTCTCGGAACTCGTACTGACAAGCGCATAGCATAAACGAAAGGTCAAGGCGTACAAGAAGGAACAGGAGGACGCAATCACCGAGCTTTGGAAAATGGAGCGTCAGAGGCTGGGTTTCTCGTCCGGGCGGGATGACTACGAGAGTGCGTGCATTTTGAAACAGGGTGGACCTCGTCTAAATGCCTGGATCAGGCAAACTACGATATGCGGCCCTTCTCGATAATCTTGACGCCACTCCGATACCTGAAAAGTCGAGGCATCAACAAATATTAGACGCTCTGCAGCGTACGTGATGCATCCTGCTGGAGTCCGACTGTGCGACTCACCCTTGTCTCATAGCGGCGAAATCTATACCAGATCTACGATCGGCTGCCCGTGCTGACGCCAGTAGGCGGCACTCTTTCACCGGAGACATTGGACTTGAGCGCGCTCTAGAGCGCGCACGATTGACGATGGAGAGCCGCAAGCCGCTTGCACCATATACACCCACGCATGACCAGCGACTCGAGTGGCTCCGCAAGCAGGATAGCCAGATCGAGCAACGCTTGCGCCCAAAGTGCCCTACCGAGTTACCGCCAGAGGACGAGGAAGACGTTCGCCTGACTTTCAAGAAGGCCGGTCTGATCGCCAAATACGCTCGCGAACAAGTATCGGCCCATGACATCAAGACGTTGAAACCACATACGTGGTTGAACGACGAGGTCATCAACTTCTACGGCGCGCTCATGCTCGGGAGGTCAGAGCAAGCGATGAAGGGCATGGCCGGGAAAGAGAACATTGCGAATGGGTTGGTCAACGGGAAGGGTAAAGGAAAGCAGGAGAGAAAGTACCTGGACGTGCATTATTTCAGCTCGTTCTTTTACTCCAAGTTGACCACGGATGGCTACGAGAAGGGTAGACTAGCAAAGTGGACGAAGAAGGTGTGTAGATGCTCTAGGGTTTTCAGATTGACTGTGGTACTGATCTTGAGCCAGTTTGACATCTTCAAGAAGGACATTGTCCTGATACCCATTAACCACCAGAATATGCACTGGACGGCTGCAGCGATCAACTTTGCACGCAAGCGCATCGAGTCCTATGATAGCATGGGCAGAATGGACGAGAAAGTCTGCAAGGTAAAGCCGTTCTCGACACCTCGCAGTGGTTATATCAGCTCATCACTCGTTCAGGTATTGCGAGGCTACCTTGAAAAGGAGCATATGGATAAAAAGAAGACTCCCTTTGACTTCACCGGCTGGGTGGACTATTCGCCCGAGGTAAGCTCTCGCTTTCAGCTTATCTAACATGCATAATGCATATCGTTCTCACGTTCTCTTGATAGGACACCCCTCAGCAGGAGAACGGCACCGACTGCGGCGTCTTCACCTGCCGCTTCCTCGAGATGCTCTCGCGCGGTGCCGCGTTCAATTTCACGCAGGAGAACATTCCGTATATACGAAGGCGAATGGTCTGGGAGATCTCGCACGCGCAGTTGCGTGACGATCCGTAGTCTCGTTCTGTCATATTCTTGTCTGTGTCGTTTCCGCTTCGTCTTGCAGTATTCGCTTAGCGTCTTTCGCCCAACTGGGTTCTCCTAATGGCTTGTGTAATCATACAGCTGACTTCCCACCCTCCGCACATGAGATATTTCATTCATGCACAAGGGATTGTATATCCAAGAGAACGAGGTACAGTAGCATGTGGTAGCCATAAATATGTGCAATGAGACAATGTATGAGAATGCAAATTCAGCGCAGCTACCGTCGAAACCACCAGACGACGATGAAGAACCAAAAGACGACAACGCCGAAGACCATATACCACATCCAGCGGCAGCCCTGTCTCGTGGCCATCCTGTTCATGCGCTTGAATGTGCCAGACAAGATACTGCCCGTCTCCTCGAACGCGTCGTTCTACACAAGCAGTGAGTATACGTCTTCTATGACCTTCACTGCGACCCACCATTTGACTCAGTTGCCGTGCCCCCTCCCGCACTTCGTCTCCTATACCCAGCGAGAGCTGTATCTCCCGGGTCAAATCCAGCACGACATCTCCCATTATAGCAAGACTCACGCACGTCCTTCAGCATCTTGATCTTACTACCCAGCCCCTCAATCATCTCGTCATTCTGCGCCTCCAAATTATCCATAAATCGCGGTCCGGCCGCGTAGGGGTTCTCCTGCTCGCTGCCGCTGCCATTGGCGTTGGCGTTATAGCTGTAGGGCGTCGAGCGGCCTGATTGCGGAGGTGTATTGTATTCCGCGCCGAGTCCGAGGTTAGCTCGTGAGTTTGGTCTGTATCTGCACCAGAAAGTGAGTGAATGTACTATAGATCCCACTTCGAGGCGCGGCTGTACCTTTGTGACATAGCTGCGGTAGGGCGGATGGTGTGCGGGAACCAAGGAGCGCGTTCGGTGACGCGCCATGTACGCCCACGTGGAGATATTGAATAGGGGCACTTCCGCTCAATTAGAACTGGAGGCTTGGAGCCCGATTTTCTCGTACTTTATGCTTTTAACGTTAATTGAGAGCTTGTCAACGGCAATGAATCGTCGATCGTATGGATCGTGAGGGTAGTTCGAGCGGATAGCGTGATGGGTGAAATCAGAGGACGAATACAACTGCACCATCAGACTACAGATAAAACATGTATTACATGACAGAAATGCAGGACAAGCTATGGGGGGGCTAAACTCGAAGATAGTCGAGGAAAACAAAACTACAAGGTGCATCTATGAATGAACCCGAGAATGTAGTGCGGGGCGGGAGATGACGAGAAGCTGTCAAACAGGCGGTGCAAAGCACCTCAAGGGCGGTTTTGAAGCATGAAGGTCCGAAAGGAATCCCAGTGATTCGAGTCGCGGTATAGATAGGTGAAGCTGCTGAACAGTCCTGGCTGCACGCGTTCTCCGTGTTGCTCGAACAACCACATCAATAGGCCCGATGTCACGGCCGTGAAGGCGGCGAACCATTGCGCATTTGGTGGCAGCGGCCGCACGAGAGGAGGCGCATTCGGGGAGATAGGACTGCTCGGCGGAGTTCTGGGTGTTGGCGCACGGGGCATCACGGCAACGACCACACGTCCGAGTCCATGCAACAAGATCTGTCACCATCTGTCAGTCGCATGCACGGAATGTTGAGCAGCGAGGGCAGCGACGTACGTGTTCGTTGATCGTAGTGCGTTCACCTAAGGTGAAGTACCCCGCAACCAAGCCGGAGAAGAACGTGTCGAAACGCTGATTCCTTCCACCGTTCATCTTCTTCAGCAGGACGACGAGGGTCTTGTAAACGATCACGTATTTTGTAAGGCCGGTCGCGTGTGTCCATGTTTGTTTAAGCACAGAACGCAAGCGGACGGCCCAGCTGTACAGATCGTATTATGAGTACAAGTGTATCTTTGGCCTATGAGGTACAGGTAACATACCTTCCTTTGCCAAAGAGGAAAGCCATCAAGAGCGCGTGGGGGAAGCGAACCTTGACGCCATAGACAAAGCCATTGCGTGCGCCCTTGAGGATAGACAAGTAATCATGGTATGTGGGGTCCAAGAGGATAGCCTGGAGAAGTTCCTTGCTCATGTTTGCTGGTGATTAAAATAACGGGTGCCCGATGGAAGAAGCCAAGGAGTGGAAGTGGACGAGGGAGCGACGGGTACGGGTACACCAGAGCAAGGCGACGGCGCGGTGTAAGGAGGGCGAAGGGCAAGCCTGGTCTCTCCAGACGTGTGCCGTTCCGCTAAGTACCCGGCCCCACCTCTTCAGTTTTACGCAGTCGCCGGCGAGCAGATCTCTTGTGGAGTTTTCCGAAGTGCATCTATCTAATTGACGCGCTCTATCGCCAGGACATCGGCTCCCTTGTCCACGCTCTAAATCCTTCTAAACCCTCACTTGCCGGCGGCCTAAAGCAGCTTCAAATCGCTTCGACATGCATCCGCTGAGAATAGAAGCCGCATGCGCAAGGGTCTTGAGACCGTATGAATCCGTATCTTCTTCCTCTCCGGTTCTTAACATCAGAACGGGTGCAAACGACGACCTGCAAGCCGATTGAAGCGGGAGCGCATATATTGTTACCGGACACCGATCGCGACTAGACCATTGTCCCGTAATAGCATAAGCAGGCACCGACACAAGCACAGCGAGTCAGATAGACGACTTGACGCGCAGATAGAGTGAGCCATTAGCGCACGCAACGAAGATGGCGGTCGGGACCAAAGGGCATTCCGGTGATAGCGCAGCGGATGTGTCACAACCACGTGTATATACAAAGAGCCGGACGGTGAAGAGGAATGAGCGTGTTCTACATACAGTACAGACCCATAACGAGTGAAGTAAGAGTACAATCAGAGATGTCCGAGATGTCTATCCCACAGCTGAGAGATGTCTGGTGATTGGCCACGCAATGTCCACCTCAACCCTACGCCATGAACTCCTGCACGGCACTCAACATTCCATCCCAGAAGGTCGTGAGAGCCTTGGGCTCGATAGCACCCTCATCATAGTAAAAGTGCACGGTGGTCTTCCCGAGGAATGTGTACGCAAACATGAGCGCCCCATTGCCGCGGAGACGTGGACCGTTGTTTAGCGCCACAACCTCAATATCGGGGTACTGGCCGTACGTGTACATTGTGTCGAGGTTGCCCAGCATCGATAGGCCGCAGAGGACAGTAGAGGGTGCGCGTGGAGGTGCAGGTGCGTTCGAGACGGGCCTCGATGGTGGAGGAACCCAGTTTCCCGCTTCCTTCTCATCGTCCTCGCGGCCCCAAATCCGACTCTGCGCGGCACGTCGGCGCGTCATCTCGCGGATGCGTGGGATGAGCATGGGGGTCTTCTGCGCCTTGCTGATCTGATCCTTGACGGAGCGCGCGCGATGCCAGAACGTCTTGGCCTCGTCTTGCCCGATGAAGCTGGGAAGTACGATGTTGAAGTAGCCGAGCGCGAGGAACATGTAGGAGTCGTGGGCTCGCGGGCGTAGGAATGGCCGCACATTCATCGCGGAGTAGATCATCCTGAAGATAGTGGCGTCAGACGATGTATAAATGAAACGCCTGTCATGCTGATATTTCTCACAAAGGTAGCGCCTGTTGCTCACGCGAGGTCATGCGCGCCCAAGAAATGTTGCAGGCCGCAAACATCGCGCCCGCAAAGGATACATTCTGCAACTTGCACTTCTTGAGCATCGACTTCGTCATGTCCGCGTCGAATGTGTGCTTCCCGATGGCAATGTGACGACTTGGGTTTTGCCGCCTCGGAAGTGTGTGTCCGCCCTGCGTTTTGTAGGTCTCAACGTCATGATCAACCTATCTGAAAACATAGAACGCACAATCTGCTTTGCCAGTACTCGGTCATAGTCCACACGTGCTGCTGCGCGTGTGATCTTGCCCTTATCTTCGGGGAGACTGTCTTCGAGACACGGCGGCAGGAGGTCGGCCTGTCCGGACAGAAAGATCAGATGGGCGTCAAAGCCATCGTGCGCGGCGAACGAACCCCATTTGCCATCGGTTGCTCGACACGCTTCTCCCACTCGGCGGCCATGTAAGCGCGCAGCTCGTTATCCGACATGCTGCCCCCGACCATAGAGAAGAAGTCATTTGCCATGGTGTGCATGGCCATACCATCGCCCAGACAGTGCAAGGCAGTCAAGAGCACCTGAAACTCATGCTTCTCAACCCCCACGGCTTGAAATGCACTCTGACCGACTGATGAGAGCGAGGGCGTCTGAGGCGGAGAAGGATACGGCTCCTGTGTAGGGGCACGAGAGACCGACAGATACGAGACACGATCACTAGCGAGAACGCGGGGACCATTGAGGCAACTGTCAATGACCTCTGGTATCACAGAGTCAGCATAGGCAGGCGCAGATGTACGGGTGTGAGAGCCCTTACCATCCATCGTCCCGTATCCCCATCCCATACGCTCTTCGGCATCCCGAACGGCGTCGTCCGGCGAAGTCGGCGGCTCGTAGCTGTACAAGTGATTTCCAGATGTCAACCGAAGAAGAGGTGGAGTTGATGATGGACGCACATCAAGCGAATGTCATCGTAATCATGCATCTCGATCCTCGAAGCGAGCAATGGGTGCCGCATACGGAGGATCGCCCAGACAAGGGATACTCGCTCGCGATGCATCAGTCGAAGCGGAGCCCTAACTCGGAGCTGGATGCACCTTACGGCCAGTTGAGGATAGAGAACGTGACGGGGTGATACGAGCACACATACATGTCGTTCACACCGTCAGCGCGCGACGGTAGGAAGTACGCAACCTCGTTGTCGCTCAGCTGCCGTACGTAGCGCGGACGGGCCTTCTCCTCGGCATCCTGAACCGGGAACGCGCCAAAGCGGAAGGTCTTTTCCTCGTCAGGCGAAGGAAGCGCAGACAGTACGGACGCCGACATAGCCATGACCAGAGAGGATGGGGACGAAGGTCAGAGGACGGAAGAAGGACGGGGATGCCGATATATAGCGTCGGGCCGAGCGTAAAGCGGGAGCGGGGTCGCCCTGGATTTCTCGAAGGCTGGAACGCAACAAGGGCGGCGAGAGATGTCGATGCGCGCCTGTCAAACAGTCAAGAATTCCAACATGGGGTTTGGAGCCGTTCTGGTCCCGCGAAAAGGCTCAAGCGTTGTCCCGGATCGGGGCAACAACGATGAACGGCAACCGACAGGTGGCACCCGATGGCGAGGATGATGCCAGAGACCCTTCGGTGATGCATCCGCCTTATAAGCGCACCGTCTGACCCGCATGCAGCACACAACCCATCATGCATCAGCGACCAGCGAACACAGATTCGCTGTGCAGGGGGGATTGGTACTTTTTGCATCCTTTGGATGTCATACTATCCGAATAAGGCTAGCACGATCAGAGGCACCAGGCCTGCCTCTATATATAAGACAGATACCATGGGTAGATCACCAGTCTCACGCTATTGATCGAGGATGTTGAGCCGCCAGATGGCACCCGGGTGCCGGATTTCGCTCACAACCCTACGCGCGGGGTCCCTGCGCAGAGTATTGCGGAAGTGGAAGCAGCTCAATCGAAGTACAGTACACTGCGGGGCTTTTCCGGCCCGCACGTGACTAGTGATCTACCCGTGGTATCTGTCTTAGGGGTGTTGCACACGCCTATCTTGTCGCTTTTAATGCATGCCGTATGTGAGACGTTCCTCACGAGGTCAATTATGTATCGATGTGCGGTTCTGAATGTCGTTGTTAGCTTACTGGCCTCTGGGGCGCTCGCGGTGATGCACGGACATACCGGACGTATCGGGATTCATACGAGGCGCCGCAGCTTAGACTTTCCAAGGTCTAGTCCATGAGGGAGCACTCAGGGCCACAGAACGGGGTGCGCCAACGCGCTATAGTATTGACCACGACGAAACACTGGTCAAGTACATAGAAGAACTATGAAACGCCATGAACACTGAGCATCTCAAACCCTGCCATATTAGAGCTCTCAGGTAAGTCTATCAGGATTGAACGACTGCACGTGAGTAGTACTTTGGAGGGTGAGAAGTCCACAGAAGAGGACAAGAGACTGCGCGCAGCATAAGCTATTTATCGGAGTCATGCTACGACTTTGTCGTAAGTTACGATGTATCGTGAGTGGTGGTGGCCAAGAGAAAGTCACGGCCTCTGAAATGGCTCATGCGCCCGGAGTGAACCTCGCCGAACGCGGCTGCTCAAGCGCTCAAGCGCTCACCCCTGAGCATGGCAGAGATCTGTACTTCGCCTGTTTCCTCTAAGTTTCCCCCGAGACCAACGAATATGCTTCTGAGATATTATCATGCGATGTCAGGACAAGCAACGAGACCGTGTGTACAAGTTCTTGACCGTGATCCGGTACAGGTATGGCCCGTTTACACGCCCGCGCAGACGGTCACCTCCGACCGCCGAGGGATGGTCTCGCGCGAGCTGACTCAGGGTCCCGGCCATCTAGAGCCTCGACGCACTCCGCTGCGACAGGCATACGTACACGCTTAAAACCCTGAGTACTGATCTACATCTTGACCACCCACCTCGAGGTCGTCGTCCTTGCTCACATCCGCGATGTCGCTGCCGCTGCCTGTGACCACACCGTCGGAGAAGTGCGAGAAGCCTGCGTCGTTTCGGACGCCAAGGCGGCCTGTGGAACTGGTTGTCGCTGTGCGTGTACCGGACGGCGAAGGGAACACTGCACTGCGCGAGTTGCCTGCACCTGCGCCCCTGCGCGGATATCGCCTTACTCGCTTGATGTCATACGAAGAGGTTGATGCAGGACGCGTCAGACGGGTGCGTGCTTCTCTAAGATTTGGCACGCGGCGACCGTCTAACAACAATCTACAGAGGATTTGGCCGCTTTCGTTGTGTCATTGCCTGCTCGCCGTCCTGACAATGACCTTTGCTTGCCTCCTCGCCACGCTCTGTCTTTTTATTCTCGCTCGTACATGGCTCCCGGATCTGGTACACCTCATGTGGTAAGCATTGTCTTGCTGCACATCCACACCACATCCCGCGCTGACGCACGACTGCCGCCAACAGGCCTGATCATCCTGCCCGATAAACGCCCTTGCAGCCCGCTTTTGACTGTCTTTGCTCTCGCGCACATCGCTCACGCATGCTGTTTGTACCCTCCTTGTATTACTAGTTGTAACGTCATCACGTCCACAATCGCTCTTGCTTTTTAAATCCATATTTTTTGCTGCCACATGCAGTCGCCCGAACAAGACGATTATCCACAAAGTAACAATACAATGTATTCCTCTCCGCCCCGTCGGTCAAGAAAGAAAGCGAAATGGTACAGGCGCGACGAGGAAGAATTGACAGGCGGGTACGGAAGACGGCGGCAGCGACTGCGGCGCATCGTGCGGGAAGGTGGCGGGGGGAGGAGGCGCATATACATAGTGGACCAGCGACTGTGTAAAGCGGCGGCTCACGGAAGGTGGTGGTATGATAGTATGTAATGTAAGGTTGCAGGGGAATGTGCGACAATAGCGGTAGGTGCGGGGCAGTAGCGCGATACAAAGTCCGCAGAGTGTATAGAGGGAGTGAGTGAGCTTTACTCGAAGCTCATGCGATTCACACGCGCGCTGACAGACGGATATGCGCTGTGTTTGGCCCGCCCGCCGGAGCCTCCATTCTTCGAAACTGATCGCGTACATGTCAGATCATCGTCAGTAGATCCATTGACTGAACACGTACTCTGCTGTTTCAACCCACGGCCAAAATTGCGCCATACTATGACGGCGTAGGCGACAGTGATTATGAGGAGCAGAATGGAGATCACAGCTGAAGAAGCTATTGAATAAAGAGGATGTTGTATTGATGGGGATGAGCTCACAAAAGATTGTCAATGACTGATAGATGTCAATGAACTGTGCCTCGTTCTTCAAGACCAATACCTTCACGAACTGCATACAGAGTCTTAGGATGAATTCGTGAATTTGAATAGAGAGAGCACACCTTATACGTGAAATATATCAACCCTCCTCCGCAACCCGTCAGAAACGAGATCATCATCCATTTGTTCTCGTATCTTGCGGCGAGGTAGCCCTCGACGACAAGCACGACGGACAATGGAAGGGCAATGATGGTAACATAGTATTCCCAATCTTGTTTGTTCAGGACGAGGCCGATGAACTGCACGCAGAATCCTATCCAGAAGAACAGGTCGAACTTGACGAAGCACTGGAAGATCTGGTAGTGTGCGAACATGCGCTTGATCTGCCGGTCAGCGCCAAGGAACTTGTAGACTTTCCATCCGAATTCTCTGTAAATCTTGTAGCCGAGACCGATGTAGATGAGTTCGGCGACGGCGATGACGATAGGGAGAGCGGTGAGAAGCACGGTGACGGGAATGTGTGATAGTCCACTCGAGCTCGGAACGTCTTGCAGTGATGCTTGGACTTCGGAAGACTGAATGATGGCGTAGACGAGGAAGAGGGCGTTGAAGATTCTGGACCGCGACAATCGTGTGAGCGCACTCAGGTCTAGTGCAATACGAAACGGACTTACGCTAGGGCGATGAATTGAAGCGTGTTTCGGGCGTAGACGGCATCGACGGCCAGTATGAATTGCCATACACTGCCGAGGCAAGGTTGTAAGCGCGCGCTCGATGAATGATGGCCCAGACCGGGCTACGCACTGGGCCAGCGAGAATATGGTGAGATATATTGGCATCTTCCGGGATGTTGTGGATAACCCAGACTGGCTATCGTCCTCGTTCGCTTCATGTATACGAATGAGAAGGTCGCCCTCTATTGTTAGATCGACGGCCGTCTCGATGAGAACAGTGAGTAGATAGATCTTGCAAGAGAGGGAGTCCGGCAGTGCCTGGTTGGTTACGGGTTTAATGGGTATTGCTGCGCGCGGAGAATCAGCCGAACGTACCGTTCGCCACCAAGGACCTGTCGGAGGCAGAGCTTGTGACGGCTGTGGCGGGTAGATGTCCGCTCGAGAGAAGTCCATTGGTACACCCTTGAGATCGGACGGGTGTTCAGCCTCTGTGGTGGTCAAAGACTGGCGCTGGATATTGACACGGTCGCATGAGTTGCGATTCGGGCAAACGTATGAAGCCGTGACGCACAGATGCAGAGGTATTGAGAGTGATGGACTTGTGCCGCCTACTGGGCTCGTAGGGTTGTGCATAGGTGTCGATGAGTTCGTCGTCGTAGGACGACTTTGCGCGGGAGGGAGGGAGGGCCATGTGTGAAGGAGCGGAGACGCCGACCCAGGCGGCGAGAATGCAAACGAAAGTGGGTTGAGGCGGTCGCGGACAAAGGGTTGGGGTAGAATGCGAGCGCGGAGTCGGAGGTGACGGTCAGAGGCGAGAGCTGGAGACTCGCGTGCGCAGCTCACCCGTTCCCGAGTGCCCTCCTCTCACATCAATTCGAACCACTAGTATGCCCGCACGGCCAGGCTTTGTCCCGCTCAAGAACCAAGATGAGGGCCGGCCGCCTTACGCCTTCAATAGCCCTCGCTCCTACCACGTATCCAAAAAAGGTGCTTCTCCCGCGCTCTCATGCTCTCATTCGGCTGTGAACCGCGCTCCCCCAGCTGTTGTTCTCTCCACTCTAGCCTTTGCCGTCTTTCTCCCGGCAACGATCTTCGTGGCTCTCCTTACATCGTACAACAACGCCCAGAAAGACGCTGCAGTCGCCGCATCCAGTGCTGCGTCTGTTTCCTCAACATCTTTCGGCAGCGTGCATGCGCATGCACCCACTTCCCCCCCGCATCAATAGTCGCGGCCACCCGGGTCCGGCTCCTCAGGTTCATTTCTTGGCACTACACGAATCCTGTGTCTTCGCCTATACCAACAACCGCCCGCGACCCTCAACGTCTTCATCATGATTGTCCAGTGTAGCAACACCCGTCCCCTCGCCCTCGATACCCCGCACTGCATTGTATCATATATCTTGTTTTCATAGCAACTTCAGCCTCCCCGCAACCTGATTGACGAGACGAGCGGGCCCTATGAATAGAAGATAAAGTCAATATCCCAGTCCCACCAGTCTGTCCGCTCACCTGGCCCAATACCAAGCACTGTTTTGGAGCCCGCTGCTATCTGCGTCCGTCCCCTGTTACCGTCTGGTGAGCCTTACATCCAGAACCGCCCTGCTCTGACAAACAACTCACGCATCTCGGACAACCCGCGCACAGAGGTTCAAGCCCTGAGCTTGAGCTTGTAGCTCGTTCAGTTCGTCCTCACTGGAACATTTCAATACGACCTTGGTTTGCCTGCACACGTTGTGGTTTCCAGCCTGTACACATGCCGGGGAAAACGTACCCAGACCTCTCCCAATGATTGAGCAACTATTTGTACATCATCATTGGCTGTTGACGATAGAATGAGCACTCGCTGCCTACTTTGACATTGCTGCTTGCCAAAGCTTTATAGCATGCCAATGTTGCGTGACTGTTCGACCTCGAGGTAAGATATCGCGACCCGATGGCCAGGTGCGACTTACGAGCATCTATTGAATGCAGGCCAGTCGTGAGTAGTGGTATGACAGACAAATAGTGCGCATAAGCTTACTGCGCCGCCATTTTGCCCTTACCCATACTAAGATCAGAGCGCACAACCAGGGCCTGTTTACGCATGTTCAGGTGTCTAGAAAATGTTCTTTACTCTCATCGCCTTTACATACGAGCTTGATCTCCTCCATGATTCCTGGCTTAACGCTACCCAGTTCGCCGTCACTAGCGGCACCTTGGGCATCTGGGTTCTGGTCCTGACCGCTCACCGCTATTGTTTGCGAGTAGAGATGTCTGGCACCAATCCAGTACCCCACAGATGCTCCTCCTACAAATAGCGACGCTGCAAGGACAAAATCTGTAGGTATGTAGTCAGTTTATTACGAAAGCGGCTGAGAGATATGTATGCCTTGGGTTGAAAGCGAAGTGGCCATGATTCCACGTCGACAACCTGAAGGTGGCGGGCTAAGGCAAGACGCGTCAGGTACGTAGACGCGGACGCCACATCTTGCGCGACGGCAATATGTATATTTCGCTCCACGTGGATCAGAATACTTTTGCACATAACCGATTTACATACATAAGCGATTGATTGACATGATAAAGGAACCAGACTGTCATTCTGAAGAAACATCTCCGGGGTATCAGATCACCGCTCAACCGCTACCATCAGTGTCCGTCGAAGAACCCGTCTCATCACCGTCGTCATTTCCTGTAAGGGCTGTCATGAGCAAGAGATAGAGGGAACGCTCATGATGTGACACGTACCGAGAAGGTAGTCGGTCTCGATACGACGCACAAGGGGTGCGGGTAGCGTAGGTAGAGGCGGCGAGGTTTCATGTGGCTTCGGCTTGGTAGGAGTCGTGGCGAGTGCAGGAGAAGGAGAACGAGAGTCGTCTCCAAATATGGATGTCTCGCGGAGCCGCGACGGCGCTTTTGGTTGAGAGGCACCGGCCGTCATGGTGCTATCTGTAGAAGTGACGCGTGATAATGGTAAGGCTGATACAGAGTATGAGCGCACGCTGGAAGCGACAGGAGCCCGTGACATTACCGGACGTCTTCTGCTTTTTATTCTTCGGCGAGGACGTTTGAGGGCTACCTTGCTGATCAATGACCCCTCGTGAGCTGTGCACGCATAACTAGAGATGACTACGCTCACTCTCTTTTTGGCGGCATCGTCGCCACCTGGACACTATTAGTTGATGAACATATACATCAATACTACAGAATTTACCCTTGTTCTTGGGAGGGCGACCCTTTGGCTTCGGTTTAGGTGGATTGACAGATGTTGGTTTGTACTCTTCCGCAGCGTCACCGTTCTCAGAAGGGTAAGGAGAACCCGCATCCGAGTTCGACCTAAGAAAGTCAGACATGTGTGATGCGCTCTGAGGCGGCATACCTAGCCATAGGCTTCTGGGTGGCTTTGCGCGATGTCCCGGCACCCGTGCAAGAGCTAAAGTGAGAGGCATAGCGATTTGAAGCAATCTGCGATGAGACCTTTAGTATAAACCCTGTATGACGACAACACACAACGTACCTCACGATCGCACTTTCTACATGGCAAGTAGACTGCGCTGGTGTCCCGCGACTTGACTGCCTCACCCGCAGCTACAGATCGAGCGTTAAATGACATGGAGCTGGAGGCGCTAAGCGCTCCCGAAGCGTCGGGGGTCCCGGGGATATGCTCTATAGGTGGTGTCATGGTCACAATAATCCATGCACATATTGCGACCCACGTTGTCGACACCTGTACAGCTCAGTTAGGCGTAGTAGATATGGGTAGTTAGTAGGCTCACTTTGTATGACAAACATCACAGACTGCTTTACTTCGCGCCACCTCCTGCTGCGACTGTAACGCGACGTCCATCAAGATATCATCGAGCATAGCGTTGAACATCCTAGACGCCTACGTAATTGGGAGGGTGTTCATCCACATGAGTAGCACGTACGTACTAGGCGATCTAGCAATTCTTCTGATGAGTCCTTCGGCATGTCTGGACGACAACGTCGGGTCCAACATCCGCACTGGCAGCACCGTGCGCGTCGAGGGCAGTCGCGGTCACATGCCGGCTTGCCTCGTGTTCCGAGCGTGTCGCGTCGCGACGCGTCTATCTTCGTTCCCGCCATCATCGCGTGAATCTCAGCGTCAAGGCCGCGCTTTACCGAAGACCGACTTCAGGACATACCAGAACCAGTATGGCGCCCTCAGGGAGGCGTCGAGTGGCTACACAACCCACACCTATGGACGATGAATCCGTCTGGGATCCGTACACGCTACCGGATCCTCAGGACGAGGAAGTCTGGGATCCGAATATCGACTGGGAGGTCGACCGTGCCGTAGGCATGGAGATATCTAGCGATGGAACTAAACAGTATGCACTCTCTTTCAGCTTTGGGCGACATCGGCTAAGCATGCTGCCACACTGTAGCTACGAGGTTAGTTTGTTGGATCTGTATCCGGACTGCGAACGATTAACTATATCAGGTGCGTTGGGGCGGTCAGTGGCATCGGGAAGATGGCTCGAATACAACCTGGGTCAGCTCGAAGGACAAGCGCAACGATGTCATGGAGACCAATCTCCCTGATAAGTTGGAGCGTACTCTCGAGGCCGCTGCGAAGAAAAAAGCCAAAGCGTCAGATTCCGTGGAAGTGGAGACTATCATGACCGCATGGCCACATGACTGGGATACAGCGGCTCGTGCCGAAGCCTGGGATGAGAAACTAGAAAGACACCAGCGGCAACACGCTGAGGAGTTCGATGAGAAGGACCACCTCATTCTGGATTGGACTACAGATATCATTGACCTACACGACACTAGTCCGAGCCCTGCACCTCACAGCGCTCTTCAGCGCCTCTCCTATATACGATCCGAGTCGCGTACCTTGTCCGATGCCGGTACACCTGCAACGCGCATGTCTTCACCGCGATCGTCCAGAGTGCCGTTACCCCGCCTCGCTAGACGAAGTGGGGTCCCATGTCGCTATGCATGTATACAGGCTCACAGAAGTACTCTAGGGTCCGTCTCTCTTCATAGTGAATCTAATGCTTCCACTTTGCGCCCTGAATCGACTGGTAAGCTATACTTGACCGATGTTGAAGCTTGTAACGAGGTGACTGATTCGTCTCTGCTAGGTCGTCGGCATGTACGCTCCCTATCCCCGGACGACATGGAAATGGATGATGCGCCAGCAAGTCCGGCATCAGAAGGTCTGGAGCTCTCGCTCAAAACGCTGGAAACCCGATGGTCAAATGCCGCCCAGACTGCGCATGCCGAGGGGCTTGCTCTGGTAAACGATGTCGATGATGAGCTTCCCGGGATCCCGCATGATTTCCAATGGGTTGAGAATGCCTATCTCTTGTCAGATCCAGTGTTTTCTATTCGCACAGAAGAATGATGAACTAACTCTTTGTAGCCTGCCTGGTCGCGAGCCTGTGCCAACTTATGCCATTCATTGTCGTACTTGCAACGAGTGTGAAGCGGGAGACTCCTGCAACTGCATCGAAGCTGTAGAGGATGTAGAGCTTGCTGAAGGTGCTTACGCCGATAAGGTAAACCCGGCCAAACTTCTTTGCGTAAACATTCGCCACAAACTCAGCACTCCTTTCTAGTACACTCTCCGCGAGCCCTTGTTGGACCGCGAATCCGGTTTCGTCGTTCGTGAATGTAACATCGTGGGTCTCTAGCTTTCGGTCGAAGCGATCTCGCTGATTATGATCTCAGGCGTGCGGCTGTGGCGAGAAGTGCCTAAACAAGGTCTCGCAAGCGCCTCGTAATTGGACCCTGGACATCTTCAAAACAGATGACAAGCGTGGCTGGGGTGTTCGAACTCGAGATAAACTAGATCGTGGCAAGATATTAGGGATCTACACTGGGTGCGTGGTTATTATGAAACTTCCTCTTGCGACATCAGTCCTGAAGACGATGCTGTGGTTGTGAAGAGTGCTGCGGTATGTGGCCAAGCTCAAATCACGCAAAATATTGCTCAGTACTTCCTGCAAGGCCACCTGCCCAAGATGATGACGATGAGGTGGATGGCAGCATCGGCAACGACTACTCGTTCGCTCTCGATGGTGGACATGTTGAGAGTGACGCCGACCACGCCTGGTCTGTGAACTCATATCGGGCTGGTAACTGGACGCGTTTCGTGAAGTAAGGTTCCAACCTGCACGCACGGAGTACAAAGTCTCATCTTTCTCCAGTCACTCTTGCGACCCTAACATGCGCACCTACTCTCGTGTGATGGGAGAGTACACGAAGCCAGCTTCAGACGGTGTACGTCTTGGCATCTATCAGTCTTCCAGGCTTACACTAAGACATAGAATAGCAGGAGCTCTATTACATCGTCTTCGTCGCGAAGCAAGATATACCTCCGCATACTGAATTGACGCTTGATTATCGTCCTGGCACTCGCGGTGGACGGGGTACTGGACGTCAGCGATGCCTTTGCGGTGCGCGAAACTGCCGCAAGCGGCTCTACACTGTATGATACCGCGAACCGTCCATGACATTATCCTGTGCTATCTCTACAATCCTACAAGCCAGCTTTCATGTACCCTGCATCGTGAGATCCCCGGCTTGGAGTTCGTTAAGACGCCGTCTCCGAGTATCAGTTGTCACAATCATATCTCAAGGGCCCAGGTCCAAGGTACGAGGAGGCACGCGCGCACAAACCCACGTGGAAACTCGAAGACTTGCCAATGCCATGACCGTGTGAGTGCGTCCTTCCAGGTTGCCTTCGTCCTCGATGTTGCTTTGATTGTGTAGACCTCCATCCACAACGCGTTCTACGGCATACCTCGACTACTCGTCCATTGGCTGTAATCCGGAATTGAACGCTCTCGGCAGCTTTCAGTCGTGTGCATTAGAATTGGTTTTGCTTTATAATTAGTCTAGTTGAACGCTTGACCGTTGTGGCGCCCACCGTCGGCTTGCCTTGCGAGGACCGTTATCTCAACACTACTACTTATGTCTGGCTCAAACGATCCTTTGAAGGCGCTTGAGAATGAATGGTCGTCTGTCGCACGGCGGCAAGGCGCCGAGAGTGTCGTGCTCGTCAATGATGTAGACAACGAGTTGCCGAGCGTGCCGCCCGACTTCATATGGACGGAGGCCGACTATATCATGTACGAGCACCTTCGGACTCAGACACCACCTCTTTCTAATCGTTACACACCAGTGCACCAGGATATGAACCCAACGCACGTTACCAGCTTCACTGCCGGGACTGCTCTCCCTGTGGGATCGGCGATCCTTGCCGCTGCATCAGGGAAGCTGATAGAGACTTTGATGGAGCTTACGACTGTGTATGCAACCCAACTTCCAAGCTTATGCACTTCCTGACTCGTAGACTCGTTGGCAGGGCTATCTTCGCGAATCTTTGGTTGACTGTGGACACGGCTTCGTGATTCGCGAGTGTAACCCGGTATATTGTATGTACGACTCTTCTATTTTAAACCGTTGAGCGAGCTACAGGCATGCCATCGAGGCAGAAGGTGTCTGAACAGGGCCTCGCAAGACCAACGCCGATGGATACCAGAGATCTTCAAGACCGACGACGGCCGCGGATGGGGCGTACGTGCTCGAGTGAAGTTAGAACGCGGAGAAATCCTTGGGGTCTACACCGGGTAGGAGCTTGATTCAAGCGTCGTCCGCGTTACGCAGACTGATCTGTCGTAGAAAGCTTCTGTGAGTGCCCGGGGATGCCACACAGCTCTGCTGAAACTTGGTTTGCAGTCCCCCGATTGACTCAGCTACAAGTGGCTTGATCGAGGCTAGCATCCAGGAGGACAGTGCCTGCACTATTAAGAGCCTTGATGGTGATATCGACGTTCAGTATATGTTCGCGCTGGACGGTTACTCGGATAGAGACGCCGAAACAGCGTGGTCTGTAGATGGATATGGCGCCGGAAACTGGACACGATTTGTCAAGTGCGTCCATCTCTCTTTGGTGGCACTTGCCAACGTACTCATCTGGAGCACAACCAGTCACTCGTGCAAGCCGAACACGCTGGTGTATTCCCGCTCGCTCGGACAGATGACGTCTGACGATGTATGTAACGTCTCCCTCAGACAGCATGCCGATATTTCGCTCACATTCACAAAAGCAAGAACTTCTCTACCTCGTTCTCGTCGCCAGATACGACATCCCGACGGGTACAGAACTCACGTTCGACTACCGTCCGGGTGGCATCCACGAAGCGGGACAGGAAGGGCGACAAGAATGCCTGTGTGGCGCAATGAATTGCCGCGGCCGATTGTGGACGTAGACGCATTGTGTCATTGTTGATATGACGGTTGGCTTTCGTGAATGCATCGTGAAGTTCATTGCGAAGACGTGGTGGGTTATAGACATAGTATTCGTAAAGAACGCGAGTAAAGTAGATCCAAAACCATAACCGGGCCGTCCAAGGCCGTGTATATCTTCTACTAGAGAATTAGCAACGAGCAATCATCCACGCGACCACCTCAAGTCCGAGTCGGTATCTCGCAAGAGCTATAGCGTCTTGCAGGGAGTCATATAGAAACAGATCAGTCGCTGGCCAAACGTGAGATGGTGAAGACGCCGATAATCGCGACGGCGAGTGCACCGATACTGGCTGGCAAGAGAAGGTCACGGGGAATACCGAAGACATCGTCGTTCGGAATGACGTGCACAGGTGCGGGCGGGGCCATGGCGGCACCGTCAGGCAGGATATCCACAGCCTTCGCCTCGGCCTTTTCCACCTCCTTGATCTCCTTCGCAGCAGCGGCAGCGACCTCTTGCGCCCTCTCAGCGCTCTTATTCGCGCCCGCCTCCACCCATCCATGACCCCCTTGGATGATGAGCACTACGCGGTCCTGGCCCGAGTTGCGAGCGATCTTCACAGCGTCCGACACATCGTCGTCGGACGTCATGAGCACGGTATCGCCGTCCGCATCGGTGTATGCAAGACGGAAGTCGAGCGGGTCCGGGATGGGGTCATCCGGGCCCTTGGGTTTGAACTCCAGGAAGAACGCGTCCTGCGCGAGCTTGCCGACGACGATATCGCGGAGATGTTCAACGTCGTCATGACGTGACTGGAATCGATGCGTGTTGCCACTGGGTGTGCGGAACTTGAACACGTATGTCCCATCGTCGGGCGCGGGTACACCAGCACCGGCGATAGACGGGATATTCAGGCCCTTGCGCGCCGGCAAGCCCGAGATGACGGAGCCCTTGTCTTCGTCTACGACCGAAGCCGAGTCGTTCGGGTGCACCTCGGAGTGAGGCGATTGCTGGATCTGCGACAGGCTGAAGGACGAGTTGTGCAAGTCCGTCGGCATGTGTGAGCCGGAGAACTGCGACTCTGTGTCGTCGTGGCCGATGGAGTCGAAGAAGCGGCCCCACATGGGTCCACCCTCTGCCTCGTTGCCCTGAGCGCCGAGCTGCTCGGCAGACATGTTGTTCATCTAGAAAATCGGTCAGACATTTCCTGGACGAACAAAAGGATATGAGTTTACCTGCTCGAGTGTGGCGTAGGTGAGCTTGAGGACGTCGACAATGGCGACAAGCCTGCCGTCTGCCTCGACAACGGGCAAGTTGAGGAAGTGACCGACTGGTAAAGAAAGATCAGGCGTGACACTCGCTCATTGGCGGATGGACGTACCATGCATCTTCTTCAGGGCGTCATGCACGGTCGTGGTAGGTGGCGCGGTGTCGGGGTGAGGGGTCATGACACGGACGACGCTGCACCTGCTCGCATCGAGACCGGCAGCAATGACACGCAGCACGACGTCCTTGCTGGTGAATATTCCGGCGATGCGCGGGTTAGCGTTCCCGCTCGCCGGGTTGGGAGGCTCCATGACGCAGACGGCGGTCGTTCGGTGCTCGCGCATGAGACGGGCGACATCGCGGACGGTCGCTTTAGGGCCGACTGTCGCTGGTTGGGTACGGGAGTCCATGACGGTCGTGAGATCAGGCAGGGCCGTCTTTTCGCGAAGAGCCTCGACGTAGGAAAGCATGGCGGCGGCCTGGGGGTTGGTGGCGCCGACGCCGAGCTCGTTCTGGACGCCGGCGAGGGCGCTGTAGAGCTTCTCCGAGGCGGAGGAGCTGCGCTCGACCTTGTCGAGGGCCTCGTGGAAGACCTTTGTGATATCGAGGAGGCCGACGACATTTCCCTCCTCGTTGCAGACCGGCTGGGATGCCGTGAGCGTTAGAGTGATCTGACAAGGAAGGGGAGACATACGAGGTGACGGAAGTGCTTCTGGACCATGAGCTGCAGGGCCTCGGTGGCGCTGGTGGTGTCGCGGGTGACCATCGGGTTCCGGGTCATGACATGTTCGACCGTCGTGTGGTGCGGGTCGATGCCCTCCGCGGTGACCTGTGCCGTGTGAGCGTCGGTGGATAATGTGTAGAATAATACGTACGCGGTATGCGAGGTCCTTGGCGGTGAAGATGCCGCTGAGGCCCTCCTCGTCGTCGACGACGAGGACGCAGTCTGTGCGTTTGGCGGCGCAGAGCTGGCTGGCCTCTGCGACGGTGATCGACTCTGGGACGGTGAGCGCCGGGGAGGGCTTGAGGGCTGCGACGGTGCCCTTTGCCACGCTCGGCTTCGCCCGCCTGCGTCCGCCCGAAGAGTGCTGCTGCGTCGTCGATATCGTCCGCTTCCGCGCAAGCTCGCTCTCGATCCGCTTCCGGAGCGCCTGTCCGCTGCTCAGTATGGCCATTCACTCGCTCAATCTGGTGCACAAACTTCGTCTCCCATCGCCCTCTTGGAGAGCTTCTTCCTGTCCGTGCTGCCGGAGACGGTGGACATGGAGGCCGAATTTGCGTGGTGCGAGGCGGGGCGGGGCGGGAGAGGCGAAGAGGCGCGGTCGGAGGAGGGAAACGAGACGCTCTGGGTCTCCGAGAACCGGTTGGGCGAAGTCGGGACAGGAATTCGCGACATGAACACCTCGAGTTCAAGAGGCGAACGCTCTCCGGACAAGACGCGACGTTCTCAGCCTAACACGTGTGCGCGCCGTCCCGACATCCCGCGACCCGGTCCTCGTTCCCTCTCCGCCTCGCGTACCTCGCCCCATCACAAACTCAAACGTGTCCCCACGCTACATAGAATTGCAACACCGGCAGACGGCGTATCATCGGACACTGGAATACAAGTACAGCGCAGTCGTGGTATCATTCACTCCTCTACATCCCTTCACTTCCTCCGCGTACTCTTCCCCCTGCTCCCTCCACCTTGACGCGTCGTGTAGAAATAATAGCCGCCACCGAGTACGGCAATGATGAAGAAATTCGCTGACACGCCAATCAGCTGCGCGCTCAATCACAAAAGATACCGACGTACCGAACACAAAGCCCGCCACGGACTGGACGAGGTCTGTACCCAGCTGCAGTACAGCCTGGCCAGCGTGAAGGAAGACCGACGCAATGGCCTGCCCAAAGGCAAGGAAAGCGCCGAAAAGCGCGAGGAACGCACTGACGATCTCATGTCCGAGATGCGTCACGGAGCCGACGAACCCACCGAGTGCAGCTTGGATGGAGGGCGCCATGGTAAACTGGGTTGGCTATGGATGTCGATGGGTATAAAGGGTGGTGTAGTAGGTGACAAAGGCAGAGCAGTGAGACAACCAGCCCTTATACCTGTTTGCTGTGGCTCCGACCGCGAGCCCGCGCTTTCATGACGTCAGATGCTCCAGTGGGCGTCAGAGGCACGTCCGTGGCACAAATCAACACTCCGATTTCGCACACCAGGGCGACGCTCGGGAACAAGAAAAGAATAGAATTTAGCGGAGGAATAGAGACAGGAAGAAAAACATCGGAGCACGAACAAGGCCTGATATACATCGCTTAACTAGCAGTGTCCGCGTACAGTTCGTAGTGCAAACAGACCGTCCGACAACTTTCATTTAGATTCATTATGGGCCAACGCAACTCCGGAGACGTATCCCCGGCGTGGCGCTGGGTGCATTGCCGGCCCTCAGCGAGCGGCGGCGGCAGGAGCTGCGGCGTTCGCGGTGCGCGGCGGCATCGTAGCGCCGGTCCAGCGGCCAACCAACTGCTGCACGGTACCCCACACCTGTGAACGAGTGTGAGTACGACTTGAATACCGTCATGCGCTCTGGATGACGCACCTGCTTGGCCATGGGCGGGGAATCAGGCTTGTTGGCAAAGTCGTCAATGTAGTAGATGACGCGGCCGAGGGCAGCCTTGGTAAAGGGAGATTGGAAGTAGCGCATGCGGAGGAAGTGCGCGAAGATGATCGGGGTGAGGAACGAGTTCTGCCGGAGGAGAGCGCCAACAGCGACGCGGGCAAGGATCGCACACTCAGCGTAAGCGACGATGCGCATAGCCTGATCGTAGTGTTCTGAAGTCATGTGAGTATTCATGCTCATCGTATCGGCAGTATCAGATACCTTTGACCCAGGTCTGGAGCTTCTTAGCGATGGGGTGAGGCGTCGGAGGGCCGCCAGCCGTCGCCGGAGGACCGGGAGCGGCTACCATAGGGATAACGGTCGTGCGTACGAACGTCAAGGCGTGGAAGGTAGAGAAAATGACATAGGGCAGCAGCGCGACTGAACAAGATATCAGCATGCTGCGCATGCGATGAGGTAGCGATGATGCGTACCGGTGACAGGTCGCGACGTAAACCAGAATAGAGCAAGGAGCAGATATTGAACGTTCTACGGAGGGTCAACCAGGAATCCAGACGGTGGCGTGATCCATATACATACCTCGTCCGCAAGCGCGCGGCGTAGATACGCTCCGTGAGCTTGGGGAATCTATCTCGTACATCAGCCCGATGCTCATGCATTCAACGCCAGCACAAGCGTACGCCGAGCGACTTTCTGCGCAGCGAGGGTAATCAGGACAGGTATGACGTGTAGATGGGGCAGGCAACGTACTGGCAAACGATAACGTAGCTCGCAAGCGCCCCTATGAAGGCAGCTGGAAGTACTCGTCAGATGTGCACGAAAAGTACGTCCTGGTATATACATACTCCTGTAGAAGTAGACAGAAGGGTGGCGGTAGAGGAGCGAGAACAGGATGTATCGCAGTGCGGCGAACAGCAAGACGAAGTGTCCGCCAGCCCAAACGTAGTGCTGATTGCGAACAAGTCAGCCTCGCCACTGGAAGGTATAAGAAAATAGCTCTACCTGCGCAGTGGCCATTGTTTGTGTATCCGGTTTGGAGGGGAGTGATTGGGATGATGGGAGTTGAAGACACGAGTTGCGGACACACGAAGCCTACACGATGCGAACGGCGCGCAGGCCTCCCGCTTCCCGCGCGAGCTTCTTCGATTGACAGGATGACGTAGTATCTGGAGATCGCCTCGCGTGCCCCTCGTTTGTACGTTTTCACCGCTGAGTGTGGAGATGATATGCGATGGATACAGTGCAGAGCGAGCGAACAAACATACGATACAAAGCAACAACAAGAGCAGAGGAAACCGAAAGAGAAACGCGGAGATAACGGCTATCGACTCCAGTTCTTCTGCATACCGCCCTTCTTGTACACCTCCTTGTCGACTCTCCTCTTGCCCATTGTCTCTATCCGCTTATCCTTCTCTCTCCGCGCAGTTTTGTGCCTGGGTCCCTCGGCATCGGGTCCGTCGACGCCATCGACGTCCTCGTCCGATTGCTCTTCGCCCCGTGCTCGCTTGCCGCCCGTCTTTGCAGCTTTGCCACCCAGCGCGACATTCACCCTCGGAGGGACGGCGAAGCCAAACGCCTTGCCGACCTTGGCGAGGTCAAGTTGGTTGACATCAAATATCTTCTTGAGCGAGTAAGATGCGTAGGCTTGGAGGTATGAGCGGAAGCCGTCCTTGGCCGACTGATGCAAGAAGTAGTTCTTTTGCAACAGCTTCTCAAGCTGGACATCGGAGTCAGCGGATGGATTCTGAGGTATAGTATGAGTGCTGCATACCTGAGATTGCACGTTCGCTACACGGTCAGTCGGGAAGGTGTACTCATTAAGCGGCACCCTCGCCTCCTTCAGGTACCGCAAGAAGCCAAGCTCGCTCTCAAGCAAAAACAGCAAGCTCTTCCCGACCTTCCCTGCGCGGGCTGTGCGACCGACACGGTGGATGTAGTCTCGCGGATCATCTGGCGGGTCGAACTGCACAATCCAGTCCACTCGTGGGATATCGAGGCCACGAGCAGCGACATCCGTGCATAGTAAGATACCGGATTCGGCGTTACAGAACTCGAAAAACGTATTTGTGCGTTTTTGTTGTTTTTGCTTGCCCTGGCTGGCAGTGAGCGGGCGAGAAGGTGTAGAGAGAAGGGGCATCCCATACATGTAGATCCAATACTGGGACGTCGATATAGTTCAAGAGTTCGCCGTGGTATTTCACGGAGTTACAACTCGAGAAGAACACGACGACTTTTTTCTTCAGGTTCTTCTTCAAGAATGTGAAGAGAAGAAGGAAGCGTCGGTCTGAAGGGCAGACGACGTAACCCTGCGACAATGTCGACACCGTACTCGTGTTCTCGGTGCCGTGGACGTCGATAAGTAAAGGCCCAGGTCGGAGAGATATCCGCGCCAGGTCTTGAACCTTGGTTGTTTGTGTTGCCGAAAATAGCATCGACTGGCGCTCCTCTAGACGACATAAGCTCGGTAGTTCCAATGGTATGGACGCTCCACACACCTTTAGGCAACAAAGCGATGATCTTCTTCATCTGCTCTTCGAACCCGACTTCCAAGATGCGATCCGCCTCGTCGATCACCAGAGCCTTGAGATTGCGGTAGACAAAGCCCTTCGTGTCCTGTCCGAAGATTGAGAGCACGGCACGAGAGCGCCACAGGGGCATGCGCACCTGAAGATGATCCCATAACCGTCCGGGTGTCGCGACCAAGAGATTGACGCCCTTCTGAAGCTTCTCTGCCTCTGCTCTCCTATTTGCGCCGCCCATGATGATACCGAACGTCTGCGAGTGGTGAGCCATGAGCTCTTTTGCGACTCCGAAAATCTGCAGTGCGAGTTCTCGCGTGGGCGAGATGATGATGATGCCGGTACCTTGACCTGGGTGAGCGGCCAGTAGGATATACAACGCGTCGTACGCACCGTTCCGTGGTTTGAATTTCAATCTGTGAAGGAGCTCGACGGCAGGTATCAGGAAAGCGAGGGTCTTGCCAGATCCGGTGCGTGCGGCGCCCAGGACGTCCTTGCCGGCAAGCAGGGCCGGTATCGTTTTTGATTGCACGGGGGTCATCGTCTTGAAGCCCATCTCCTCGAGCGCCTTGAGCGTCGGCTCCGAGAGCTCGAGCGTCGAAAACGGCGGCCTCCCCTCGACATCCGCGTCGGGCACAGGCGCAGGCACATTAGCAGCTTCGCCCATATTTCAGTCTGTCAAGTGGAAGTGCAAGGTAAAGCCGCAAAGCTCCTGCTAAACCGAAGCTTGCTCGAAAATCCGCGACGCGGTCACGCGCAATCCGAGAGCACCTCGCGTCGCGCGCGCCGCGTCTTGATTCCTCCCACCACCATCCCGACTGCGTGCCATGCCCACTCTGACCGACTCGCCCAGTCCGTCGACATAACTTATCATCTTTATACTTTGACTCATGACTGGCATAGGTCTTGCCTCGCTCACCCTCGCTGTGACCGTTGGTCTTGTATCGGCGAGCGCCGGGTATTTCTTTGGGTCCAGAGCTACGACCCTCCACCTACCGGAGCCTTCCGAAGCCTCTCCGAACAATGCCGAACTAAGCCCTGAAGTCATACTGGCTGCTCCCTTAGCTTCCCCTGAACCTGTAGAGAACGAGAACTCCGACGACGAAGCTGCCGATGGTGACTTGAGCGCAGTCTCGGCTGGCTTCATGGCGCCATGCAAACTAGTTTGTTGGGGCGAAGCGACCATTCACGATTCTCTGCTCAACCTATAACTAGGTTCTGGTAGTAAGGACCGACCTTGGCATGAGCCCTGGGAAGATCGCCGCACAGTTCGTCTTAAGCTTTCTCGATGCTTTGTATCGCTTTTCTGACCGCATTATAGGTGCAGGTGAGCTCGAGATATTGGGAACCGCCCACACGTATAGCTCAAGCAATGTCAGCCATGCTACGCTGGCCTGTTATAAGGCGCTTGTGAAGAAGAATCCCAAGGTCTATTGCGTTCGCATGCTGGCATACCACGAGCTCACGGTGTTATCTCAGCTGGTGAACCATTGGGAAAGGACAGGACAGGCGAAGATTGCTCTCAAGTGTAACTCCGAAGATCAACTGCTTGAGCTGGAGGCCATCGCCAAGAGCCTGAACCTGTGTGCACGATCGATCCAAGACGCGTGCGTGCTTCATCTTGTTTGCCAGGGTGACCACCAGCTCATACGACTTTCATTACAGCGGTCGCACGGAGGTTGCTGCGGGTTCGACGACTGTTCTCGGCATTGGTCCCGGTGCGCATATGCTAGCTTTACATCCGCTTTCATCGCTGACACAACTCTACAGCACCCGTCGAGCTCGTGAATCAGGTTACTGGGAAGCTACGACTATTGTAGAGACACCGCCGACAGGAAACTGCACACTGTTAACACTACTCGGGTTACGACATATTTCCGTTAGGATACAGGAATTTACAACACAAACTTCGCCTTTACCAAACACGCACTCCTGAAGTGCAACATGAGACGTCAAGCATCCCTGACAAATCCAAGCGTCCTGGAGAGGTTGAATGCCTGCACACAGTGTCAGTGACGAACGGAAAACGCGTGCGTCAAGGTGACATACGGCTGAGATGAGCGTGACATGGCTGGATCTCGGTGTAAATAAAGAATCCGGGAGAGGGGAAGATGACGACATACGTGAAGCCCTGAACAGCGTTACCGAGACTGTCGACGTTCCGTCAGTATGCATTCGCCAGTCCTGAAAAACGACATGTCCTACCCATCTCCCGAAGGCGACACTTCCTCCGTGCATAATCCCACGTGGTTTGTGTACTGGAGGAAGTCCTGCAGAGTGGTATTGAGCCTATGTACTGCGTTCGTGGCCGTGGCCGTCGAAAACGCCCACCTCGAACATGCGGACTGCCTGTTCCAACATTTTCTTGTCATATTGACCAGCGCGACCGAGTGCCTCAATACACCAAAGGGTACACAGACTACCATGTTTGATGATCAATCATGGCACACAGTGCATGTGAAGATGTAAACGTACCAGAATGTGCCTTCCTCACCCCCCACGCCATCATCGGATGTCAGTGCGTTATAGCGGTAGACGAGATTCTAGGAGCAGAGATTGTGATAAGAGATAGAGCATGATAGATTATTGGACTAACGTTGGCAGTCAGCCCACCACGCTCGGGGGTCTTCAAGATCTCGCGCAGTGTCGACAAAAACCTCGGTTCAGACTGGGACGGCATCAGCAACCTGGCCAGTAGCTCCTATGTTTGAATCCTTACCGCAGAGCAGAAGAAGACAAGTGGCATGATGAGAACACTGTGCAGGCTTAGCCCCGTCTTCATCCTGTGTAGGAGGTACTTACGCGCTATCGAGGACATCGGTGGCCTCGTAACTCTGCCCAAAGATCTTCCTCTCATCGTTCCATGCCTTGCTCATGATCTGTTCGTACAACTCATCGCGCGCCGTGTACCACTGCATGCGGTTGGGACACGGGAAGGAGCGCTTCTCAGCGAGACGAATGCCACGGTCAATCGCTACCCAAAGCATGACCTTCGAGTACTTGGAAGAACGCTAATCAGACCAAGACTGAACGTGCCAATCGCCCGAGACACACCGTGAAGTGCCTCATCTTGTTGCGAACCTATACAAGCTCGATGAGTGCGGCGGAAACAGATACACCAAATCACACACCTCCCAGATAGAAAGGTCAACATCGTTACGGTGTTCGACCACGTAATCAACACTGCGTGTACATCAGTATGCGGCTTCGGGAGGGTATCAATGACTTTACAGTCCGCGCACGGCGATCCAGGTGTCGTAGCTGAGCGGTCGACCATACTTTTGTCCAAGATACTGGACTCCGGACGTCAAGACGAGTTAGTATGATAAAGGTTCTCATGTGTGCGTACGATACAATCCATCAGCTCTCCGTATATATCAAGCTGGTTATCTTGTGAGAGACGTGGGATTTGGAAAGAAATAGGTGTTGACGGACCTGAATATGGTCGATGGCTCCATTCCCGATTCGTACGGGTTTGCTACCCTTGTGTCCATCGAGATGGGTGAGTTCTTCCTCGGGGAAGATCTTGCCGCCTAGAACGAGGGCTTGTCATCGCGGTCCAGTCTGCACAGAGGCTACATTGCTGACCGTGAATGGTGTACATGATCTGCAAACCACCGTCCTCCTACGTTCAAAGCATCAGAGCAAGGCATGCGAAATACAAGAATCTAGGCGTACGTTCTTGTCTTGAAGGCGCTCGTAGATGAAATCCATGTAGGCTTAACCTTCAATGAGCGATGAAATCACTCGAATGAACCATTCACGCACCGTTCGCCTCAGTCGTGAATCCCAAACTTCGTAGTATCAGCACCTAGTACGTGGTGTCACGAAAAACGACTGACCGAATGAGCGCGTACAGCGTGAAAGAGCTGTCTGCATATCATCATGAGTGCTGATGCAAGGACAATGGGACCGATCTCGATGTTACCTCGGATCCACGATGCCCTACAAAGGTCAGGCAATCGTTCTCTGTGGGCGCGGATTGGGCGTACCGATAGTCCCAGTTCCTTGTACCGCCGATGAACTCGGGCAAGCTGAGACATATGCTCAGCTGCAGTGATGGCATAGTATGAGAAGACCTGCCTGAAAGTTGGGCTCGCCACAATTGCACCAGTTGGCTCATACGTGAGGAGCTTAAGAGCGAGTGCACTGCGATGTACGGCTTCCTAGATGGGAGTACCTTGTTCAGCAGATTGAATATGTCACCAAGATCTGACTGACCTTCCATGACCCAGAATACTTCGATCCTCGGATCCAGGTGTTCCAGTAGTTGTTGGTCCCGCGCAAGAGGTCGGCGAGCAGGGTCTGGAAATACCTCAGTAGATAGCACGAGACGGTGAAACCAGGTAAACTGACCCTTGTCAGCATAGGGTCGCTAGCATCACGGAGATTTGAAGCACCGCGAAGCAACCCTTTCCAGAATCAGAGCAAGCAGACACCTGCGGAAAGAGATGCTCACGATCGAATGAAACGCCGAGTTCCTTGGCTTTCTGCTCGGTTGGGCGAATGGCTGCGTCGACACGGATAGTAGCTTCGTCTGGTGGTGTCCTGAGTACGAAGGTGATTGCTTGTCCCTCCTCCAAGTCGAGATCCATACAGACGGCCAACCCCTTGTGACCGCGCTGTAACAGGTCAAGCTCTCTGAGATCCCCCGCGGGGCAGGCAACGCTATCGATAGTAGACTCGGTTACAAACCGTAGGTCAAGAGTCAACTCCTTGGACTTGAAGATGGCCTTCTTATGGGGAGTCGGCCCGTCCTCTGCTTGAGGAATAGTATCGTCCGGAACGATGGTGGTTTCGTGGGTCGCGCGAGCGTAATCGAAAGCAGGCGCACACTCCATCCGAACTGGCATACGGCCGCGGATGACCTCGACTCGACGTACGAGCCAATGAAGCAGCGGCTTATGTGCAGCAGAAGCCGGGTTGCGGGGCAAGAAGTCTATGTACCGCGGTGAATATCGGGACGAGCACGATCGGACATGAAGCAGACCAGTGACAGACACGACACCCTCTTCGTTCAGAAACTTCGTCTGCAGAACATTGGAGCTTGGTAGATAGTTTTGCTTGGTAGTGAATGCGACCGCGGGCGTGATGGAGAAATGACCTCCCTATCCAGCGGAATCAGCTCGGTGCCTTGGACGTGAGGCAATTACCAGTGACCTTGTCCTTGTCTAGGATGCGTGCGAAGATAGAAGGAGAATCAAACTCCGGGATGCAATACGACTCGACTACGATATACGTCAGAGTTGAACTTCCTCCGCGGATATCTGGGGACTCAACTGGATCCGTCTATGCTAACCTACACGAGGTGAGTGACCTCAGAGGGCAACATAGTCACGGCACTCATACCATCGCGGCCGTTCTAAGGTTTCCGATCCTATGAGGGAGCGATGGGTAAATGGTTCAGCTACCAGCACCTGTGGCGCGTCGGACGAATTCGTGTACTAACAGGGCATGGTCGGAGATCGCGATGTACTCTCTTTCTTGCGCCACAGGATCGACTTTGCTCAGCATGGTGGTCGAGTCCAAGATGGAATGTAGGTCGCGGCAAAAATCTACTTAAATACCCGCACGAGTCGAATGGATGTCCGGTCGTGGAAGTCTGAGTAAGGGCGGCGTCTCGGAGGCTCGGACGTCAACACATCGGCCCGACGCGCGCGCAGATCCCATCTCTGCGCCCACTGCTGTCACACATGTAGACGACTACGCAAAGATGGTGCTTTTATGGAGTCTGAGATGTAGCTGAAGAGACAAATACAGTATTCACACAATCGCCCAAGGGGCGGTGCTCAGTAGTACATATCGAACCGGTCACAGCCGGCGTATGATACCAGCCCGTTTCCCAGGTCTCTCGTATTACAGAAGCTGAAACTACGCCGGCGGAGAATTCTACCCCAGACCCTGCGCGCCTATCCATTACCAAGGCTACATCTGTACCCCAACTATACCCTGTGACCAGCTTAGCATGCTACGCAGCGACCTACGGCGTCTGTTTGATAACAGCTACGAAGATTCCTGCACAATTGTCAGATGATCATGAGATGTCTGGAGTGCATGGGTAACGAACCTCCGGTTGGAAGAGCATAGTTACCGCGGCCAATGGCCCGAAGAATGCCATTGAAAATGCCATTATGACCAGTCAGTGAGATGTCTGACGACCAATCAGCCTGGCGCGTATACTGTAGTGCACTGACCGGCTTACAAGTCTTGTCGGGATTGCTGTTGAAGATGATATCAAGTAGAGTCTTTGCGCGCTCAGTGATATGGTCATAGGTTTCCCTCTCATCCGTCCACAAGACGTCCTCTTCTGAAAAGCCATCTTCGAATATATGATCGGGGAACTCAGCCTGGATTTGCGAGAGAGGGCTGCGTTTGTCGCACGTATGGCGACCATAGTGCTCACGCGCGACCTGTAGCGGGTTACTTCACTGCAATAAGTAGTAGCGTATTCGCCACTGACCTCCAATACGACAGGCTTAGCGTCGCGAGTTGAGATGATGCCGTCGAATGTCATATTGAATGTCCGCAAAGCCCTTCGCATGGGCGAGCAATAGAACCTCTCTGGCATGGGCAGTCCTCGAGTTATCTCACGTTTCCAAGCGGTATTCGCATCACGAGCCTGCTGCTCTCCGAGAGAAGTCAGATGCGGGTCGGCTGCGAGGGCAAGGGTTATTCGATCAACTGCATCGACCAAAAATCGGGCTAGGAACTCACGTCCCCAGACCATCTCTCCATCGCCATTGAGCAGAGCCCAATGATCCTCCCAGGCCTAGGTCTGGTAAGTTATGTCACAGCAATGATCACGATATTCGGTGTACCATAGTTCTGTATTTGGCTTCGGCTACATTATGCCATCCTTGCCCATGGCGACCCATGTAAAGGACCTTCACTTGCAAGCCATCCGTGCATGCATCCTGCAAAGCCCGGACATCCTCAGAGAACTTGGACCAAGATTGCGAGTGCAAGCCGAAGAATGGAGGAGCCTAGCGTCCTAAGCCATGAGCCAAGCGAGGAAGACCGGGGCGCATCGGATGGTCCTCACAGGCTCAGCAGGCTCGTTCTCACGGCGCGTGTCCTGTATGAAGAAATCGGGGACTATCTGTGCTCGGTTTGTTCAATCATAGATCTCTGATTCCTATGGACTGGGGGTAGAGACCTTGTAGGTGACCATTGTGGGCGCAGGTAGAAAGGCTCGGAAACGAGACGCGATCCCGTGTTTTCTCGAACGTGACGGTGATGATGCGCGGCAAGGTGACGCACGCGAAGTGGCAACTTGCGCCGCTACTCCAGCTCCTCCCTTACCACGCTTATGCTTGTGCATGCTGTCGCGCCTACTTGAGGCGGTTCGGTGCGCTGAGACAACTTTCCATCCTTAACCCTCATATCCATTATGTCTAGTATCGCTCTTGGCCGCGCATACCAGCGCTCTTTTGAAACGTACGCCCTCTCGTCACCGAAGCCAGAGATGAAGGTGCTCACGACCATTATAGCCATCCGAATTTCACACTCGCTATTGCCGGCGGCATTCTCAACGCTTTAGGAGATGTAGTCGCCCAAACCTCCCAGCGTCTGGTGCGCCCCACTCTTGGTTTCCCCATCACTCTTTCAGACTGCTGAGCAACGCTTCAGCTCGCTGACGAGAAGGACCGCCATCCACATGAATACGACATCACGCGAACGATGCGCTTCTTCCTCTTCGGTGCTGGAATCAGTATGTCCAACTTCCATGAACTCTGCGAATGTCGATTGACCTGTCTAAGGTCCGGTCATCGGCAGATGGAACAAGTTCCTGGAGGCGCGGTTCCCTCTACGGGCGATTGGAGGCACGGGCCGTGTCAGCTTCAGAGCGCTCTCCAAACGTGTAGCGGCCGACCAAATCATCATGTATGTACTGCATTTCCCCCTATATCCCAGCTACTGACAACGGCTCAGGGCTCCTATTGGTGTATGTTGACGCAACCCGTCGATCTGTGATAGTCTACTGATTCTCTCCTCAGCTTACCCTGTTCTTGGGCTCGATGGGTGTCATGGAGGGCCGCGACCGCGCACATATCGCGGAAAAATTCCGTCAATTGTACTGGCCTGCCCTCAAAACGAATTGGCAAGTGTGGCCGGCAGCGCAGGTGCGTTCTCTCGTACTGGGTCGACAGCCTACCTTCTGATGGGCGCGTACAACAGTTTGTGAACTTCAGGTTCATGCCCTTACCGTATCGCGTGCCCTTCCAGCAGACATGTGGTGTCTTTTGGACTCTCTACCTTTCCATCCTCAATTCAAAGGAGGAGGCGCGGGCATCTTTCGAAGACGGCAATGCCCGTACTGTAAACCATTAAGTCGAGGTTTTCTGGAGGAATCATTATGGACTGTCCGCATATCACCAGGCTTCGTCGTGAACCATATTGGGAACTCTAGTAGAGCGGTTCATCAGTACTGTACCAGCCTTGTAATACCGTTGTATCATAGCTCTTAATCACGCATTTCTGTGACATATCGAACCAATAAAAATGCAGTGGAAAGAGATAGAGCAACGTTACATATGCGAGTCCGGTACGCTAAGAGCTACCGTACTTGGCTCTGAAATATGCAGGCGGAAGACGCGCGAGCACATCCACCAGTGGCCGCTCAACGACCACGATCTCCTTCTCTGAAACGAAATCCGCCGCCAGCACCTGCCTGTACTGTGTGAAAAGTTTGAAGTTTTCGCCGACGGGTAGCCTGTTCGCCTGGCTCTGCTTCCCTTGCCGCCTACGCTTCTTGTTAAAGCTCCCGGGACCTGTTTGTGCAGAGAAGTCGACCTTGCAAAGCCATGTTGAGCCCCAGATGAACGCGAAGTGGATGGACAGTGAGGGTGAGGGGTCTGGGAAGGAGATGCCAATGAGCGGGTCGTGCAAGTGTGTGAAGCGCTTGGGCAGCGAGTTGCAAAATTGGCGCGCCCAACCGGGTGTCGTCCGCGTCTCGACGTCCCAAAGCTCGAGAGTGTTGTTCGTGAAGCCGAGTACGAGAAGACCTGGTGATAGCGGGGAGAATGCAAGCGCCTGTACGCTGTGAGTGAAGGACGGTAGCTGAGAGTGATGCTGCAAGGCATCCAGGCTGAAGACGTGCGTCCGCCGACGGTCATCAGTCGTGGCAAGCCATTGCCCATCCGAGCTAATGGCCATCCGAGTGATGGCGGTGACAACGTCGCGTCTCGAGGAAGCCGGTGGCTCATTTCCATCGTCCATATCGACGCCGTCGGCGTCGTTTTGCTTGCGCCCTTTGACGACACGATCGCCGATGAGGACGTCCTCCATGCGATGATGAGTAAAGCAACGTAGTAGTCGAGGCGAGCCCGAATTGGAGCTTAGCTCAACGAGCAGTACTTTTGCCGAGTTATCGCCGATGATGAGTTTGCTTGAATCAGGAGAGAACATGAGAGAAGTCGCGCCGGTGATGGATGATGTCGAGTCGCTCTCAATGATAGATGCGAAGTCTCGCACCCGCCTGGGCTTGAGCTCGCCGTCGGCCATTGTCGCCAGGGAGAATAACTTGACCTGATAACGGTCGGAGACGGCCAACCACTTCCCATCGCCAGATAATGCGCCGGCGACGAGGTTGGTCCGCACGTTCAAGTTCATTTCCAGAACTTCTTCGTACATCCGTTCGCCCTCCTCGTCCTCTCCAGCCTCTTCCGACCCGTGAGCTGGTATGCGCCACAAAGACACGCTGGTATCCCGCACACACAACACCAGGCGCGCAAGTCTTGCGACATGAACAGCAGTGGCACCGTTGAAGCCCGTGTTATAGGCTAATCGCCGATGGTATGCGTCCTCGAAAGTAGTGATGACACTCGTAGCGAGTGGGTTGACGAGCTTTGCTTTCGTTGTGACTTGCGCGGAGGCAGCGGGTGTGGCGGCAACGGACATATCGAGGCCGCCAGACACGACGATGGGAACAAGGTCGGCGGGAGTGAGGCGCCGATGCGATGGCAAGACCGGCGTATAAGGAGGCCAAACAGCCAATGCCCTTACGTCGTGCGAGTGCATGCGTTTAATGGCAGTTTGTACCCATCTGCTGGTGGCAGACAAGACGGAATGTTCCGCAGACCCAGTTCTGACAAGGGAGAACTGGACTGTACGTTGGTCTACCCCCGAAGAATAAACACTTCTACCATCCTGTTCAACAATGCAATATCAGCGAACACGGTCTTCATAATATCTAGGGTCACTGACCGAGCCGATGGCGAGACATAGCACGTCCGCACCGTGAGACTGAAAACTATGCATTTGTGTTCCGGTTTGGGAGTCCCAGAATTTGACCATCCCTAGAGAGTCTCCTGAAACGATGGTACCGTCCCTTGAAATGGCGTAAGAACGGCGTATGATGATTTCGCATACCGCGACATACCCAAGCACGCCCACAGTCCACACCAACGTTCGTTCCCCTCTAACCTTGTCAGTCCCCATACGCTCCAGTATCTGGCCAGAGGCGACATCATAACGGCGCAAACTACTGTCCGAGCAGCCGGCGACCAGCCAAGAATCCGTCCAAGCATCGCTGCCTTCGTCATCGCTCTCATCACTCCCCTGTGCCGCAGGGGAAGGTTGGGCTTCTCGGGGCCTGGCAGGTCCCCAAGCGAGACTTAGCACGCGGGATTTCGACCGGTCCAGTCGGCGTAGGTGGAAGAGCGAGTCGTTCTCCAGGGAGATGATTTGAATTGAGCCATCCTCACAGCCTAATGCCAGCCTTGAGGAAGACGGGTTGACGGCTATGGACCAGATGGATCCGCCGGTAGAAGAGAGAGAACGCTAGGGACATTATAAACCAGCACCGGTGAAGCGCGTATAAGGACGCCACATACCTTCACTTCGGCCCGCACAGGATCCCATTCTAGCAGCTCCGTCCCTCCTCCTGCACTGAATAATCTGAGATCGGTCAGCGAGGGGACGCCGTCCTGATCGAACTTCCAAGGATAACGGATTGCCAAAGCCAGGGAGTCGACCTTGGACGGACAGGGTCCTGCGAGCGTCTGCGGGACTTTAGACGAGATCATTTTATAAGTAGCACGATACACACCTTCCGGACTGTCCATGCTTGGGGAGTCTCCACGGCGTCGTCTGAGCCGGTCCACTCGCAGAGCTCGATATTTCCATTGGCGCGTCCCACGACCAATTCGGCGACGCGTCTGGGCGCGAAAGACGCCTTTTTCTTGCCCTTGGGGGAAGGGAGGGGTAGAGGAGGAAAGGCGAGCGCGGTGATTGCCGCGGGAGAGTAGTCCACGAAGCGGCACCTGTGCACCAGCAGCGTGCGGCTCGAAGATTCGCCCATCCTGCTCGTCGCGGTACAAAGTAGAGATCGAGACGCGAAAAAGTTTGCTCACGCCTCAGACGCGTCCAGCCGCGCGCCACGCGCGTCCGAGTGACCGCTTCCCTTCACACCTCCATCTCACCCTTCATTCTCAACTTTATAATCAATGTCTTTCTTCGGCGGTCCGGCAAGGTCACAGGGCGGCATGAGCCCCGAGCGCGTCGACGCTGTGATGACAGAGTCCGTATTCACGTACCCCTGCGCTGGCAACACAACTCTGACTTGTACACAGGATGGAAATGGTCTCTGACGTGTTCAACCGCATGATTGCGTGCGCACACAGCTCTGCCTCTGATATTCATAGAACTTGTACTCACGTCCCTATTCCAGTTCTTGCCACGCGAAGTGCATTAGCACACGGTACACCGACGCCGAGCTCACAAAGGGCGAGAGCGTGTGCATCGACCGTTGCGTCGGCAAATACTTCGAGGCAAACAAGATCGTCGGCGAGGAGTTGAACAAGCTGAACCAGCAGGCAGGTGGTGCGGCAGGTTCTGGGCCTTTGGGCATGTGAGGTGGTGGGGTGGGGCAGCGTGGACAGCGAGGCGAATCGTGAATATCTTAATACTATGCACCATCTCTAAGCTGCTATAATAATTCCCAAGCACCAAGAAAGTCACATTTGCGTGTTGTGCACCCAAGGAGGCAGTAATATCAAAGATACAAATCCACTGGTAAACCCAAAAGAAATACAGAGTTACAAAGTGTCTAGGAAGGTCTATGCGCAATCAGCGGTGGCAACATAGACGATATGGAAGAATGCAGTCGAGCGTGAGGCTGTATCCGACTGGTCAATTCATGAACCTAGGATACGGATGTGAGATACTCACTAAGTAGAGTCTACTTGCCCGCGGTCGGGAAGCATTCGGCCATGGTCTTGCTGTGCCGGTCAGACGCGTGCTGCTCAAGCCTATGCGATGTTCGCCGTGAGTGATGATAACGTTTAGACTTGACTGAAAAAAACGTACGCCGGGGCACGTGTGGTGACGAGCTATATGGATAGAGGTGAACATCGATTTGAAGGCTGACGGATCGTCGCACGTACGAATGGCTGTCTGCAGACGGTACATATGATGTTCTTGGCCGCCTCGTTGACCTTCTTCTGGCTGCTCGCACCCTTCGCCCCATTCTTGTCCGCGTTGCGCTCGCGTTTTTGCTGAGCCTTTGCACCCTGCGCTCGGACCTTCAGCCATCGTGACCTCATCAGCTGGCTCGTCACGGCGTACGTTGCCCATATTTTATCAGACGATAAGCGAAAACAGGATCAGAGCAGGAGAACAGGGGCGAAGCAAAGCAGAAGCGAAAGTGCAGGTTGCAGAATTGAAAGAGACGTTTTCCGGATCTCACCGCCCGCATGGGCTGCTTTTACCTCGGAGAAAATGGGTCAAAAATAGAAAATAAATGTTTAAGTTTTTAATGGATTTAACCGCCTTAAAAAGGCCAGAATGAAAATGATTCATTTTTCAAACCATTTTTGTCACATAAAAAAAAACCTTTTTACCCTGGCAAAACATAATGAAGTGTATATATATTCGGAACAGTGAAAGCCCAAGCACAAAAGGTTTTGATTTAGTTGAATTTGGGGTGAACGATTTTCCATGATATCAATGATTATATTTATCTTGAAAAAAAAATTGGCAAGTAAAATGTTTTATTATTGGCAAGTAAAATGTTTTATTTTGTGTCTGGCTCTCGGCCCAAAGTTGTCAGCGGGGAGTCCAGCGACACATTCGTCGGGGCAAGGGCGCGGTGCCGCTTACGGCCAGCGGCGGGCGTCACGTTGTGGAGCAGCTCGAGCCTGGGTCCGACATAGCGGAGGTACGCGTGAGCACAGCTGGAATAAGTGGTGTGGGAGGCAGGACGTACACGATTCTCCGCGGGAGATGGAGCCAGAGCATTCGATGCGTCCTGTGCTCGTTCGGACAAAGAGGCGTTAAGAGACTGAAAAGGAAGTCAGTGGAGAACATGGGGTACGAGCGAAAATACACGCACCTCCCTCCGGTTCGGGCTTATACTGATTCAATAACGGAAACCTGAGGGCCGGGATGGGTGATAGGAAGACGTGACGGCTGGTAGCTGAGGTCGGCAGGGCGCGCTCGTCACTCGTCACCTGAGCAGCTAGAAGACAAATGAATGAGTATGCCCATGTGCACGAGCGCACAGAGGGTACGTACATACGAAGGGTAAGTAAGAGCAACGCGATGTATACCTCGCACCATGGCGGGGATGGTGGTGGTGAGAGGCAAGCCGCATCTGCCTCGCCGCAC